TAGGTCAGTGGTCGGCAAACCGCGGCTCGCGAGCCACATGCGGCTCTTTGGCCCCTTGAGTATGGCTCTTCCACAAAATACCACTTGCGGGTGCACACATACAATGCGATTGAAACTTAGTGGCCGATGCACAGAAGTCAGTTTTCGGCCTGGGCGAGTCTATTTTGAAGAAGTGGCGTTAGAAGAAGTGGGGGTACGTTCGCTGAGGTCGACCCCTCAGATTGAGGACGTTTTTAGCCAAGGCCAGCTTAGGAGTACCCTAATTAAGTTAATAACAATGTGCCTACCTATATAGTTTAAGTTTAAAAAATTTGGCTCTCAAAAGAAATTTCAATCGTTGTACTGTTGATATTTGGCTCTGTTGACTAATGAGTTTGGCGACCATTGCCCTAGGTCATATTTTTCAAAAGGTCATTTTATGAATATGGAAAATTCCTCTTCTAATCAAGAAACATAACAGCTAAAACTATAGCTGCAGGTCAAGTGCAGGTTACAGAGGTGTTCTATAGGGTGATCTGTGACTTCCTCTTCTTCTCAGTACAATGAAAGTATTATAACTATACGGAATCTGTCATCTTCCATTCTGCATGAATCATTTCCTTTCTATAACAGACACATCAGCATACACTTCTCATCTGCTAGAAAACATACCCTGCTTCTGAATGTTGTTTTCCACTGTTGATTGAGATTGTGAGGGATAGTTATATGTTCTTTTTGTTGTTTGTTTAGAAAGCCATGTCATCTGAAACTTAGTTCCTTTGTAATTTGACCCAAGAAAATTCTCTTCACTGATAAAATAGTTTTTAGATAAATAGCATGCAGAAGAAGATGTTAGATTACCAATTCAAAATTAATTAATTAATCCTTCTTGGAAATTTTGACATTTATTCTTTTCTTTTCTTGGTGATAAAGGTGTAGGACTTGTAACAGGTGCAGAGAATATATAGTGAGCTCAGAGGAAGTCTTAAATATGACTTGGACACCCACCATATGGTGCCTAATGTCCCCTTCCTTTCTTGTTCACCACATGAAAACTTTACGTTATCATCTGTGTATAACGGTGGCCAGGAACAAAGGAGATAGCTACCATGTATGAGTGTGAAAAAGTGTGTGGGTATTTGGTTGCCACTTGCTAGTAGGTCTACTGTAAACTGGACATTTTACAGGGGAAGCAGGTATGTTCAAAGAGGCTACGAGACTTTCCTAACATCCTTCAGGGAGAATTGGCTGGAAGGGGTTCACACACAGGATGTCCATCACCAAAGTTTATGCCCTTCCCCAAGTCAACAAATATCCTAAACAAAATCAACATATTAAAGGCATGAAAACATTAAGGCTTATAAACTCTCACAAATTCAAAAAAGCCATGGGGGAAATCCTTGCTAAAAACCCCCAGTCACCATACTTGTTTTGGCATGACTATGCCTAAGGTGATCTGAGAAGAGAATTGACTTTGCTATAGTTTGAAATGAATGCAATCTTGCTATTATATTTTGCAATAATCCCCTTTTAGTTAAGAAAAAATGCTTATATGTATAAATGAAAAATGTATTTCTTTCATAGAATTTATCTTATCAGCATTAACTAGTATCAAGTATAATGGTGAAGGAAAATACTTGAGGAAAATGCTTGGAAATAACCTAAAATTCTCTTTCATAAAAACTTATAGCAATGTTCAATTTCAGGTATTTCCCCCCAAATATTGTTTATCTTGTCAAATAAATTACTTTCAAAGGGTAAGATGGTAAAGACCTTCCAGTAGGCTCCTCTGTAGTTTATGTGAGAATTCCAAATAGAAATAGAAAGAGGCTCAGGGCCGTGAAAGACAGAAAGGGGGGGTGGAGGTGGGGTTAATGCAATAGAACGGAACAGCCTCAAAGAGTGTGGAGAAAATCTTCCATAGAAAAAGGACGACCATAGTGAGGTGAAGAGAAAAGAAATGGAGGTATAAAATTAGAAGTGAGATTCATGACATTTAGATTCAACAAAGGTCTTTAGCAGATAATGTTTGTGTACCATTACCCAAGCATTTGGTTAAACTACTGCAAAGTCATTTATAATAAGTAATTGTAGTTTTTGAGATAGCAAAATGCACAAAAGTTCCTGACTTTTAAGTCTTGTCCTGTATAATAAAAGGATTTTTAATGTGTTTCTCCAGTCAAAGCAATTGCACAGTCTTTATTTGGGAATGGTTTTTTGGTAGGTGTAATCTTTCCATTTCATTATTGAACCCCTCACCCCCTAAAAGAAAGTGTGTATATAAGGAAGAAATATTTTTTAAAACAGTAAAAATAGGCTTCAAATTTACTACTCTGGGTAGAATATCTCTATTGCTAATTTTATCTTTATATAATTAGTTAAAAAGAATTAGTAAGTGTGTCACCTGTGAGGAGGTTTATGTCTAAAACCAGACAAGATGGGATAGCTTAGTGGATTCTTTCCCTGCAATGATTTGGAAAAAATGCATGGCTTTTTATCTTTTATGAGCCTCTGTCTCGTGGTATGTAATTGAACATTCCTCTCCCGTCTTCAGTCTTCATGCAGGGCCTCTAGAAAGGTTTCCAGCAGGGGCACATTTTTAGACAGGGGGAAGAAACAGTTCAGAGTTATTTTGGACCTCCTCAGCTTGTCTCTCTATCTGGCCATCTCTCTCTCAGTCTCAGTCTTTCACTGTCTTTTATCCCCCGCCTCCCATCTTGGCTCCTTCAACCCTCTACTTCCTTCCAGCTCAGCTCTATGTCATGGTAATTACCAGCCAAGACCAACTCATGCATGTGTGTGCTTTAGCTGAATCATTCTCACAATTATAAAATTATTCAAGGCAGTAGAATCAAACTGTTCCTCACCACTACCCAAAGAATATAGTCAGCCCTGGCCGGTTTGGCTCAGAGTATAGAGCATCGGCCTTCGGACTAAAGGGTCCCGGGTTCGATTCTGGTCAAGGGCACATGCCCAGGTTGCAGTCTCGATCCCCAATAGGGGACGTGCAGGAGGCAGCCAATCAATGATTCTCTCTCATCATTGATGTTTCTATGTCTCCCTCTTCCTTTCTCTCTGAAATCAATAAAAATATATATAAAAAAAGAATATAATCAAACATCATGTTCATATTTGTCCACCTGAAGTATACCATAAATTATATGAATTAAAGGATATTTAACTCAGCTAACCTGAGGAAGGAGGAAATATTCAAAATAATATCAATGAAAGTACAGCCCTTGTTTCTTCATTACATGCTGCACACAGCTCAGAGACCTGATGCAGCCAGACTTTTTCCCTCAAAGCCCTATTTCAAAACAGAATGTGTCACACGCAGCCCCTGGAGCAGTCCTACTCTCACTTCTTCATACTCCACCCTAGCACATCCTGTTGGAAGGTTTCAGCCTTCCTCTGAATCCATTATACCATTCCATGTTCCTGACCCTCTTTCATAAAACTGGCTCATACAAAATACTCAGAATTCTCATCCAGGAAGTCAATAGGTAGTTCTTGGAGTTTGATCACATTTGTGTCCAACTACTGGGTCAGGTGAGAATCCTGGTTCCAGTTTGGCCTCTGCCCCATTTCCATTGTCTTGTGACTGTGTATTTACATGCAAAGATCCATTCTTTAGGGGTTAATTTTAGCCAGAGTTCGGTGGTTTTATATAAGTCAAGCCAACCCCCATGTGCTACAAAGCCAAGCTATCAGACCTCACAGTAACATGCCAGGTCTTCCTCAGGTGGCAAAAGTCGTCTGATCTGTACACTGAATTGCTGCCTCCACGCTTCTTGTATTCCCATAGCAGGTTTTGCTAAGTATTCACAAAAGAGTGGTTCTGAGTCAGACTTTTACTTGCCGCTCTCTGTATTAAAGGAGGCCATGCTGGTGGGCCAGCTCTCATTCCTGGATGGCAAGCACCTCCGGCCCTGGCAGGATGGGGGACTACATGACTTGAAAGTTCTCTGCTAAAACCTCTAGGCAGAAGTAAAAAAAAAAAAAATGTAGCAAGCATTTGCTTAAATGCATAATGGAACCAGCAAAAAATATTAGAAATATTGTCAAGGGGCAAAAACAAAAGGGAGCTGGAAACTAAAAGAGTGAGGGTGTGAGCCAGGGCTGCTGCTGAGCTTCAGGCTTGGGTTTCCATGTCCACCCAGGAAAGAGAAGGTCTAATGCCTTTGCCCAGGAATGACATCCATTCAGACTGGTCTGCCTGGTGTGCTTCCCAAGAGCCATGGCGAATATAGTATGTACTTTAGATTCCTCCATGATGCTCAAAGGTAGTTTCACCCATGCCTCTGTGGATACTCTTCAGGGAGGGTGTGGGGGGGGCTGGCATGGTGACAAAGCTGCTCTACGAGCTCATCAGATTAAACTGGTGCTCTCTGTTCTCTCTGGGCTTGCTAACCAGGCACAGCCAGTGAAATGCTCAGTGTAGGCAATGGGGGCTGTGTGTTCACAAACACTTCTGAAGTCCAGAGTTAGAGTTTTGAACTTGTAATGCTTATCTGCCATAATATTGGGAGAAAGGAAAGTGGTACAGTCAGCAACCCAGAGGTAGCTCACCACAGCATTTGGGACAAGTGGAAGGAGAGAGACTCACGAGGAAGTATTATAATTGCCTGCCTAGTGGTGAGGAAAGGGTGCTCTGAGGAGGCTCTGACCAAAATCAGTTGGAAAGAACACCATATACCCCTGGTTTGAGACTAGGACAGTGACCTGCTCCACCTCTCACAGAGTTAAGTGGAACTTTGCAGCCAAGGCCTGTGTGTGATGGTGGCACTGCTATTCCAGTGACCCTGAGTAGGATTGTCGTGATTATGAAACATGGCCACCGGGCACCAGCAGTTATTCATGAGAGGTTCTTGCCGTAAGTGACATTCAAGAAATGTCTCGATTCCTTACTTCCCCACCCTTAGAGAATATTTTGTTTCTTGTTAAACAATGCTAATGACAACTATGATTGACATGAACCTGAGAAAATTCAACATGTTTAATATGTATCTTTATTCTTGTAGGCCTCTTTTTCGTGGAAGTTCAGATGTGGATCAACTAGGAAAAATCTTGGAGTAAGTAATAACTGTAATTTTACACCAGTGCCCGTAGCCTTAGAACATTCGCGGTGACTTTCCTCTGACGTTCACATAATGCGTTTACCTCTTGTCTTTCCTGCCCCAAGCTGCTGCCGCAGACAGTGTTACTATTTGTGTGGTGAGTGGGGACACGGTAGGCCTGCTGTTCTATGCAGAGCCCGTCGTGACGGGTGGCCTGACCGCTCTGCTCTGGAGGCCTGTATGTTGCTCGTGTGGATTGTTGCGCTGCTCCTCTTTCGTTGCTTGGCTGACCTCCCGTTCTTTAGTTCAGGTGCGTTGCCTGCCTGGGGTCATTTCGGATGCATCCACCATCAGAAGTGGGTTGCTTGGTGGCCTGGTAACCCATCCCTGCCCACTGGGCTTCCTGTCCCCATTGAGTATCCTTTAGTTATCCAGGTTGGTTTGACATTGTTTTCCCGGACGAAGAATGGTGTGCGACACAATCCGTTTTTCTTCGGAGCACTGCGATAGGAAATGAGAATCCTAGGTTCTAATCCTCTGTCTGTGGCTAAATAACTGTAATCTTGAGTAAGTCATTTAACATCCCCTAAAAAGAGCTTCCACGGTGCCCGCTCCGTAGTCAGTGCTTTTTAAATGTTAGCTGTTTTTATCATTCGTTATTAATTGTTTAGCCATTTTGTTCCTCAACTTCTTTACCTGAGAAATGAAACTTTGGGCTTAAATTTTCTTTACGTTCCCTTCTTGTGCTTCAGTTCCTCGGTTCCAGTTGTCTGTTCCATAGCTCCTCGCTGATTTGCAGATTTCCATTCATGTCTGCATGTGTGCATGTGAGGGTATGGATGCTTTCATGTATCTAGAATGTAAAAGGGGGGGGGGCTTTTCTTCTCACAAAGCATGCAGTATGGCATCCTTTGGGGATTTGTGCATTTGCCAAGTCCCATCAAAACTGGGGTGGAGTAGGAAGAAAGTGGGAGTTATAGAACACATAAAAAAGCCCTGATCATCGGTCTTGGACATTTTCTAAGAATCCTGGTGATTTTTATGATATTTGTAGCCTGTAAAACTGGGGAGAAGTACCCCTGGAGAAAAGGGTTCTATTTTAACCCCATCTATCCAAGCATGACTGCTTAAAACAGTTGGAACACAACCGGAACCTGACTTTGTTCTTTGGGTAACTGGAAACAGCTCCCGCAGACATCTGTTAGCACCAGTGCCACTGCTGAGTCAGGACCCGGTGGCTTTGAGGTCTGAAAAACATTTGCTCGTTTTATTGTCGGTGGCTGCCTGGGTCCAAGGCAACTGCCACAGCTGCTGCTCCTACTGCTGCTTCTGAACACTTCGTACGATGGGTGGTTCAGGACAGAACTGGCTTCTGAATGTCCAGTTCTTTGTCACTGAGTGATGAACTCCATCTACTCTTCCCATCACTGTTGAATATCGTTGGTGTGTATGTGATTTTTAAGAGGGACGTGGGAAAGTCACACCCTCTGTGGGAAGGAAAGCGGCTTGCCAGGCAGTGAAGCCCTTCACCTGCTTTCCCTACTGACACCACCTGGACACCTGGGCTACCGCCAGCACTGGTGTCTGCGATCTTGTTAACATTGTTGGTGCCCCTGAGTATAACGTGGCCAGTGAGATGGACCAGGAGCAACCTTTGCTCAGCCTGTTTGACTTGCTTCCAAGGGAAAGCCGGTTCCACCTTTGGCAAAGGCCTGAGATCCTAGGTTGCAAGCGGAAAGAAGCCATGAAGTCCTACATGTTCTATGCTCTTAGATTTTACTTCTTGGTTGTTTCCTCTAACTGCAGTTACTACTTTGACGTAGAGAAAAGGGACAATACTGCACCCTAGTGCCACTTTTCAAGTACTTGAAAAATGATTTCTGTCCCCACCTTCACTGCCAGTTATAGGTTTTGTGCTCTGTCATTCTTTCTGGTACAAATGTCAACTTTTAAGGCTTATATTCAGCTGTCCAAATACTGAAATTTGATGCAGGCACTTTTTAATGGGCCTATCAGAATTTCACCACGCTCACATATGGGCCATAAAAGCTCATACTGTATGAAACTGAATTATGTTTAAAGAAAGTTATATTCACATTCTCTTTAAGGGGGGAAAAATGTTGGTGTTTAGAAAGATTTATACTTTCAAAGAACAGCAAGTACTTTGAAAGTGAAACTGAATGCTTTTCGCCTGTGGCATTTTGGAGCATTTTTAAGACCAGAGTCATCGTTAACTAGAACCAAAATATTGGGTTTGGAATGAGGAGAATTGGGTTCACTCCAGGCTCTGTGGCTAAACTCACTATGTATGGCTTTAGCAGTCTATTTCATTCCTGTAACTCAGTTTCCCCATCTATTAAACAGAAATAGTAATACCTGAATAGTAGTGGTAATACGTGTCATGGGAGGTTGTTAGAGGGATCAGGGGAAGTGATAGACTTACAAACACTTTTAAAAGTTATTTATGTAAACATGTATTTAATTATATACCACGTATACATACAGAGTCCCTATTTTTCGGAGGGCTTTTGGCATTCAGCTGCCCATATTGCCAGATTTAACTCAATATAAATATATTGAAAGCTGCAAATAAAAAGATTTTAAATTATTACTAATAGTTGTTCTAACCAGTTTCTAGGTAACTAACTGGTGATGGTATGCAAATATATTAATATAAAAAATGGCTAAAAAATAAAAATGAATGAAAGAAAAATTTTGAAGTTCTTTAATAAGCATTCTTCTTTTCTTCCTCTCCCATTCTCATACATTTTTATTTTCTTTAATAATTTGTAGTGAGGTTTTTTTCTTCTTTGCACGCTTATTCTAGATCTTGCTATTAAGCAAATTTTGTACAGTTGCCATTTCCATTCATTTGTTCCAGTAACTATGTCCCTGACTCTGTCTTTATCTGCCTCGATAACATGGCTCTCCCAGCATATCCTACAGAGGCAGTATTGTCTTTGCCCAGACGCCCGCCGGTGGGTACAGTTAGGACACACTGTCTGCTCTCCCCAGGGGAGGTCTAGAACCTGGGCTTTGTTTAGGTGAGAGAAGGGGAACAAAGCCCTATAGAGATCCTATGACATTTAGCGCCACATCTTCCTGAAACTTGGAAATCCATTCAGGAGAACTCACCCCTCTGGGCCTTAGTCCCAGCGAGGGCAGGCCAAGAAGACCCTAATGCAGGCAGGCCAGCAGCATTTCTAACTGTAGTTTAAATCATTTGTCAGTATTTGAATAGTCATAGATTCTGTTCACTAAATTATAATTTTTTAGTTTAGAATTAATCAGTCTATGTGAGACATAAGTTTTTGCATCCCCTGATTTCCTTTGTTCAAATCTACTTAACTGCCTATACAAACGCTATAAATAAGATCTACATAATGTATATTATGTTGTTTAAAGCCACTGATCTACAATATTTCTGAAGAACCTTAAATTATGCGTTGCTAGAACTCAAGCAGTTCATATGTTAAGGTGGTAGTGCCAACACATTTTAGGTTAATGTTCCCTCTTATAGATAATAATAATGGGTAATGTATTGATGTTGACAAGTACTCATTGTATAAAAAAGACACTGAAATTCATAGAAGTTAAGCAATTTCTTCTTACCTATCCATAAGTGGCAGGTGTAGAATTTGAACCTAGATCTGCCTGTTTCTAAAGCCTGTGTTGTTTTTACATTATTTGATGCTCTGTCCACATTTCTGGACTCAGAATCATTTTCAGGGAAAACATAAATGAATACTGTTTTTATTTATTTGCTCACTTTGGAATACCTTGAAATAGTTATGCAATAAAAACATATAACTTAATTTTGATATTAAATTATAAAATAGTGTTTGCATAACACAGGAAAAACATACCTTCCAGCCTCTTCTTTTTGTCTGATTCTAATGGATGTAGTTGGGGAATTAATCTTTAACAAAGATTATGTGTTAAGAAATGATGTTACATGAGCATCATAAAAGCAGGTCAATACCAAAGTGCTTGATCAGAACACAAAAAGCAATCTTAGGCATAAAGGAAAATGTTCTGTGGCCATGTGGGTCTACTTTTAATACACAGACCCTGCCCTGTCAGTATGTCAGGGCTTATTGGTAATAGAATATTTTCCATTTCTTCATTATCTCTTCTGTTTACTGTCTGCTTCCAGAGGAATCTCTTATCTCTTCCCAGCGAATTTTACAATTCTCCTGTGAGATTACCCTCTACCCATGATCACCGTATTGCAGCTGAACAGAGAGAAATGAGCATCCTGCCAGTCATACAAGTGAGGGGCTCCGGGGCTCTGTGCCCCCTGTGCCTGCCCTTTAGACTTTACCTTCGTCTAGAATTTGGTATGAAAATAGCTTCTGCGTAGCAGCTAATGCTGATGTTCACATGTGGTTTTCTTTTGTAGCGTAATTGGACTCCCAGGCGAAGAGGACTGGCCTAGAGATGTGGCCCTTCCCAGGCAGGCTTTTCACTCAAAATCTCCTCAACCTATTGAGAATTTTGTAAGCGACATTGATGAACAAGGCAAAGACCTACTTCTGGTAAGTTCGGGCGATGCAGAGTTGATCTGCACTGTGCTGATGAGAGACTTTCCCTGTCCTCTCTAGGTGGTGGGAACAGCATCAGTTCAGCATCACGTGCCACCACCTCACAAGGCATGAGCCGCAATCTCTCTGCAGCTCTCCTTCTCACACCTAGACCAGGAGGAGTCAGTGCTCCCATTCTCTGAACTTCAAATATAGACGTAAGAGTCTATAGGTCTTAGTAGAAATGTTGTGCTTCAGCTCTGTGTGGGCACAGCCAGTGGTTGGCATGTCTGCAGAGCCATTGATTTTCCCAGTAGGAACTCACTCCATCTTTCCCTGATGGTGGCTCATTTTCTGATGCTTAGGCAATGGTTCCCTCCAATGCCAAGTTACGAATAAGGACAGCTAAACTTCCTCCCCACTGTTTATTCCTACGGCCTGTATCCTTTGAAATAAATTAATTAGAAGTCAGAATATTTGCCTAGACAAAGTCTCACAATATATACAGACTTGTGACTCATCTGCTATTTAGGAAAATTTTTGCTTGATTTCAAGAACACAGGCAAGTACTGACATTACCTTAAGAAAAGGGGGTTTGATGGGCTGTTTCATGTGGCCTGGAAATGGGAAGCCATTCAGAGTATAAGTGCTCTGTCTCTGTCCTGTGCATCACCTGCTCTTGGCACCTCTGCTTTTCTCTGCCCCAAATGCCTTTTCTCCACCTCATTGATACTTTTCAGTTGCACTGTCTGGTCCTTTGACTATCAGAACTTCAAATAACTCATGGATTCTTCCACCTCTAACCCTCACTGCTAGCATTTGCCCTATCAGTATTTCCTACATCAGATTCCGAAAAGGAAGAAAGAATCTTACTGACATACCTTACCTTTTTGCCAGGCTGCTGGTCCCGTTAGCTGTGCTGGGAAGGGGTAGGGATTGTGGTGTATAAAATATGGCCACCATAGGCTTTTCTTTTCAGCAGGAACTTTGAGTGGCAGACAGTGTCACCTGCTCATTTAGGGTGCCCCCCTAGCAGTGGTGGCTTTCAAAGTCAGACAACACGCTAGTGCTAGACTGGGAAAGTAGCAGGAGACAAAGAAGAAAAATGAACAAAGACACGTACCAAAGAGAGAAGGAAGAAGCAAGTTGAGGAATAAGAAGCAGAACCAGTGACATCGGGACTAGGAGAAACTTAGGCAGAAAGCATAATATCCACAGGCTTTCAGGGAAAGGACAGCCCGAAACCACACAGCTCAGAACTGGCTGAGGCTGCTGGGGGCACTCAGGCTCGAACTAGAAAGCAGAAGATGGGCCACTTGGTGCAAGATAGGCAGCCGTGCCCCCAGCAACACCCGTTGCCTCTATTGGAAATCATTTACTAAGGAAAAGTGAAGACTGTGTTAGAAAGTTGGTGTTATTTAAGAAACGGTTAACATCTGGAAGTTTAGCATGTTAAATTATTCTTCATTTTCATCTGGAAAAAAAAGGTTGACTTTATATCATGCCTCAGTCATAATGTATGGACATGTATACAACAACATTTATAAATGCTCTTATATACATACAAGGGTGGGCAAAAACACGTTTGAGTAGTGAGTGACATTCTTTTGAGTTAGTAAAGCTATTGTCATCATAACCTGCATGTCTTTTTCCATATGAGCAACTGTAGACCTACTTTTGCCCACCCCTGTATATAAGACAATGCAGGGGGAAATTTTTTTTTTAAAATATATATTTTATTGATTTTTTACAGAGAGGAAGGGAGAGGGATAGTCAGAAAATTCGATGAGAGAGAAGCATCCATCAGCTGCCTCCTGCACACCCCCCACCGGGGATGTGCCTGCAACTAAGGTACATGCCCTTGACCGGAATTGAACCTGGGACCCTTCAGTCCGCAGGCCGACACTCTATCCAGTGAGCCAAACCAGTCAGGGCAAGGGAAATTATTTTTAACAACTCAAATCGAAACATCTTTTCGAGTTTTGTCCCCTTGGTTATGGTTAACTTGGGAGGCTAAATACTTATTCCAAATATGATGCTTTTGCTGAAAAATAAATGTTAAAGTTTCTGCTATCTAACTGTTTTCAGAGCCTGAGGCACTTTTTTTTTCTTTCTGTCATTGTATTTAGTCTGCTTTTGCTGCATAACAAATAACAAAACAAAAAAATACTAGCATATAACAGTGAGCATTTCTTCCTTGCAGATTGGCAAAGGCAGCTCTCCTCCTGCCTTCAGGTCAAGTACAGGCCCTTCCATGAGCCTTATTCTGGGGCCCAGGCCAGAGAGGCTTCAGCTCCTTGGAGCATGTTTTTCTCCTGGGAGAAGGCAGATGCTCCCAAAAGGGCAAGCAGAAGCATGAGAAGGCCCTGAAGGCCTAGGCTTGGAAAGCCTCCCTGCTACTTCTGTCCTCATCCCACTGGCCAGAGCAAGGTCCATGGCCAAGGCCAACCTTGGGAGAGGAAAGAATGCGCTCACCGTGGAGGGAGGGAAGGGAAGAAAGGGAATATATGCTGGAAAAGTGCAGATCCTCTTAAGTAAGTTGTAATTTCAAGCACTCATTTTATAAGTGGGTGTTTTGAGGAAGTAAATTAAATGCTCTTGCAGAAACAATATTATGAGATGAGATTTTTTTTAATACTCAAGCCAGCCAGTTGTGCCATTTGGGGTAGAGCAATAATAGATCTTAGCCATCTTTCCCAACACTATTTCTATAGGACATAATGTATTAAGACTTGAGATTCTCACACACCCCCACATGAGGCTAAGGAATTCTCCTCTCTCCCCTCTTTCCAGCTCTAAGCCATCAGTATAACTGTGGGAACAGGGCTTCCTCCCAGAGAAGCCTCTAGGGACATCTCTGTATCTTGAACACATTCCCACAACTTTTTTTAAAATATATTTTTATTGATTTCAGAGAGGAAGGGAGAGGGGGGAGAGATAGAAACATCACTGATTGGCTGCCTCCTGCACAACCCACACTGGAGATCGAGCCCACAACCCTGGCATGTGCCCTGACCGAGACTCGCATGGTGACCTCTTGATTCATAGGTTGATGCTCAACCATTGAGCCACACTGGCTGGGCTCCACAATTTTTTATTTCTTCTTTTCTATGTTCTGGGGATTAAACTGGCTGCTTCTTTTTCTAATGCCACTACCTAACTTTCTTCTTCTTAGACTCTGGAAAGAGAGAACTGTCTCAAGAATTTTGCCCCTACTCTCCTGTCCTTTGGGAATTCGTCCCTTCCTTGTAAAGCTTTTCTCAGAATGCTTGTTGCTATTAGAGACCGTAGAACCGTTCGTGAACGAGCTCCTTCCCCTGCTTGTCTTTTTGCTCTTGGTTTTCAGAAGGAAGACACTGTGAGGAGGCTAGTACCCATGGACTGGCAGGGAGCTCAGGATAAGCAAGATTTCTGGGGACTCAAAAATTCACCTGAAGTTATATGTAGTATTTTCTGTGTGTACATGTTTTCCTATGTCAGTCACGTTTAACAGAGCTCCTGAAGAGCAGAAACTCAGATTAAACGGAAGTGGTCTTTATAGCCGTAATAACGTTAAGTCTTTAGAGTACATAGAAGACTCAAATACATAGACATGTCAGATACCCAGCTCACTGCAGGGCATCTTGCCTCACAAAGATGGAAAAGCTGTTATAGCTTCCCTGCGACTTGTGACCTCCCAGGGCAATGCTTGCCACCTGCTGGGTACTCCTGCAGTGTTGGTGGGAGGAAAAGTGTGGACTTGAAGAACAAGATTGCTTGGGGTTGGATTGGAAATGGACAGAGATTAGGAAACTTTTCTGGCTAATTGATTAGGAATTAACAGTTTGGGGATGGAGATCTCTGCTCCACGGCACACCTTTTCCTCCTATCACCTTCTACCTGCACTTTGAGTTCACAGCCTGGAATAGAGTTTAGAGACTTGAATTGAATCTAACGGATTCCTTCTGGGGATGCTGCTAGCCCATATGGCACTTTGATGTGAATTAGAAGGAAGGCATCCCTCTGCTGGTGTAGCCCTCGGGCAGGGTGCATGGCTGGCTAGTAGATTAGGATAATTAGCATCTAGATTTTAGCCTGACATGCCTCCTCCTTAATAGAGAAAGCCTTTATTTCCTGGCTTGACATGTGTTTGTTTTTTGTTGTTATTTTCTATTTTATTTTAGGAATTTGTCAGAAACTGTTTTGGTTTGGAGAGCAGTTGAGTAATTATCCTTTACACTTGAACAACACCTTGCCATTCTCTGCTCATTGACAAACCTTGTAGGAAGACTTCAGAGATAGGGTGGAGTCTCTAACTATGGCACAAAGTTTGCTAGCATTAGAAAAATCACTACCTAAAGAAAATGACATGCCTACTACAATAATAATAATAATAATATATTTTAAAGGACCTGGGTGGGTTGTAGAGAAATTCTGGGTAGTGACAATCCACAGGCAACCCAAAAGGTGTTGCCTTTTTCTGAGGGGCAGTTTATACATTAAGGTTATATATAAAATGAGAGCTGTCTACAGCAAGCATGTCAAACTCGCGGCCCACAGGCCGCATACAGCCCACAACGAATACTTTTGCGGCCCAGCCAATATAATGGCATGTAAGGAACGTTTTAATAAAAATTTCATAACTTAATTTTTACAATATCGTGTTATACTTAATTATTAATAACAAACTACAATGTTCACTAATGACTGATTACTATAATCGTTTTGCATTCATTTATTTCCCTTACGCGCAGGTGCACCATTTCTCTCCACTAATACTAGCAGCAAATATTTTAGCAGCCGATTGCCACGTCATTAGTCTGTACTGACTTGTTTGGTGTGCGCAACAGAAAGTATTTCACTTTCGGAGAAAAGAAACATAGGTTTATTTGCATTATGCTTATTAATTTGTGCAGTTATTTTGTGGTAAGTTAATGTTCAAGAAAAAAATACTAATTTTTATTAAAATGTTCTATTATTTTATGTTAACGATTACTCATTTCAGCCCTTTGTATTCAGCATGTCTCTATCGAAATAAACCTACGTTTCTATGAAAATTGAAGCTTTTGTTTTTTTGCGGCCCACATAAACGTAAACCTTGTTTATTTGGCCCGTGTTAGTCTTTGAGTTTGACATGCTTGGTCTACAATTTACTTAGTGTCCCTTGAAATAGATACTCATTCTCATTAGAGACGCACATAATTCATGGTAGTGAAGATGTAGCTACCCGAGCACATTTTTTAAAAGGGACATGTTTTCATGTAAATCGATTTTTTTTTTTCTTTATCACAGAAGTGCTTGACATTTAATCCAGCCAAAAGAATATCTGCCTACGGTGCCCTGTCTCACCCATACTTCCACGACCTGGAGAGGCGCAAGGAGAGCCTGGATTCCCACCTGCCGCCCAGCCAGAACAACTCGGAGATGAATATAGCCTGAGCTCCCAGCCGCTGCCTCCAGCGGATCTCCTGGAGAACACCTTTGGTGTCTGATGGGTCCCCCTGCGTCAGCCCCTGCAGAGCTGCGGGAGATCACCGGCTGGGGACCTTCTAGCTGCCGTCTTCTGGGTGGACTCTGCTTCTCCGAGGAAACGGCTTAGTTTACTATTTGAAATCAATGCAAGAGTGATTGCAGCTTTATGTTCGTTCGTTGTGTGTTTGTCTGTCTGTCTGTGTCAAAAACATGGAAAAATTCCAGAAGAGAAGCTGCTGACCAATCATGCTGCCATTTCATTTTTCTAACCTTGAGTGCTGCCAGAGTAAAATGAGCAATCCAGGCACAGCTGATTGTGACGGATCTCCCTGCAGCTGCCGGGCCTGATTTGGTACTTTTGAGTGAACATGTTGAGTGAGTGTGTGTGTGATTTTTGATCTCTTAAAGTGTTACTCTCTGTAAACGACGAGAATAATTGAATTCTGGGGATTCAAAGTGACCAGTACGTAACAGGCATCTGTGGACCAAAGGTGGTTCACCAGGATGGGCTCCTGAAATTAGAGAGTTGAGCCTATGTCCTCAGAATTTCTCTTCTGGCCACAAGTAGTAAATTTGTTAGTAGTGAAATGTTCACTATCTAGATGAAGTTTTAGACACACATCCAAGAGGAAAAAAAATTCTAGTATCTTTAAGAGACCTATTTTTTAAAGCACACATTTCATTTACTCCTCCAAAAGCTGAATTACTCATTCTGAGTACATTTTAACCTGTATAAAATGCTTTATGGTTTCTTTTTTTTAGATGCCCTGTAAGCTTTTTTCTTACTTGCTTTGGTTTTAGGGAATGCACCTCAAATAGGTCCACAACATAGAGAAAGCCTTTATTTCCTGGTTTGAAATGTATTTCCTTTTTGGTTCTTTCGTTGTTGTTGTTGTGGATTTTAGGAATTTGTCCGAAACTGTTTCCTCGTTTGGTTTAGAGAGTAGTTCTCTGACTAGAGACAGGAATGCCATTTGAGCTTTCCCACCTGTGACACTGTACTTTTTCTACAATGCACTGCCTTATTTGCGAAGTATCCATCTTCTCTATCCCCCAGCGCCTCTGATAAATATTACTACCCTTACATTACCGATGACAGATTACTTAAAGCTGTTTGCATGCACTTTCTTCTTTCTTTCAATGAACCTTTCATAAATAGATTCAGATTATGGTTTATGGCTCTAATTCCACGATCCCTTACAGGGTCCCTGTGCTCTCACTCTAATGCAATCTTCCTACCTGTCAGTCCCCGTTGTTACCTAGACAATGAGTGGAAGACTGGTTCTTCTCTATCACCAGCACATAGATGGCTTTAAACTGTTACTTCGTGTTTTACGTTTTTATGGAGTATATTGTCAGTGTAGTATCTGAGGGAATATCTTTTAACTATTTTTTTTTAGAAAGAAATATTTACTCTAATCTTTCCTCCTTCCTTCAGGCTGTGCTCACTTCCAGTGCCTCTTGCACACTCCTGCTCTCTGCAGAGCCAGCCTGACTCGGGCATTGTGAATAGCTTTACTCTTCCTCTTGCCATTTTCTCTGTAGATACTTTATAGTTCATGCCATCTCTGCCTTATTTGTGGTGAGTGCTCATTTGGCTCTAATAAGCAGAAGACACCGAGTAAGTATGTTTGAGGAATTTTAGCTACTTTGCCTTCTGACTCATGTTTTGAGTTCATGCAACCATTAGACCATGTTTTAGGGTTAGAGCTTTCAATGAATGGACATTGCTTCGCTGAGTAGAAAATATCCCAGGTGATGTTTGTGTGTAGTCAAGCCTTACCGAATTCCTCACAGTTTAATATTGTATGTGACTATCTTGAACAAGAGAAAAATTGGGAGTTTTCTCCTTGACAGTTTTTCGGATCAGGACCATTCTTTTTTTAATCCATTTTTTAATAGTGTTCTGATTCAATAACTTGAAGAGGAGGAAAATTATTCTAAAGTAAGATATGGTGTTGCCCTATGAACCAGGAGATCACAGTTCAGTTACTGGTCAGGGCACATACCTAGGTTGCAGGCTTGATCCCCAGTAGGGGGCGTGCAGGAGGCAGCCAATCAATGATTGTCTTCATTGATGTTTCTATCTCTCCCTGTCCCTTCCTCTCTGAAATCAATAAAAATATATTTTTTAAAAATAAATAAAATAAAGGCACGGATGAGAAGATGGGCCATAAGAAATGTTTTACACTTTCTTCATTGTGACAGCATTATGTTTTGTCACCACTGTAAATGCTTGAGATATAATGAATCCAGAGCATTTAGGACTAAGTAGACTAGCATTCTCCCATGGAAATGGGAGTTCTGCCTTTTCTTTTGGTTGGGAGCAATATACAAAGATGTTTTTCCTGGGGCCTAGAAATTGAATTTTAAAACTCACTGCACTGATTGGTTATGAGCTTTTCTGTTAGTATTCATGGCTAGAGTGAACATAACTTGAGTTTTTGCTTTTGCAAAAGTTTTCACAAGTTTGCTCTAGAAAAATGCAGCTGTTCTAAACTGGAATTTTTTCAGCATTCTTTAGAATTTTAAACAAATAAGAGCTCAACTTTTATTTCTACATATGCTTTGGGGTCATTTCTCAGTAGTGTGTATAAAGAAAACTTAAAGCACAAACTTTAAGGTATTAGATCCTTGGCAGATTATCCTCTGCGAGGCAGAATGAGAGGGCATCTCAGCCTCTCTGAACTTGTTAAGAGACTGCTCAAGCTCTACCATGATTGTGGCTGTGACACTTGAGTGATTCTCTCTTGTTTTCTGTTATTTCCATCGGGCTCACCACGTCTGAAATCCAGGTCCCACACAAACGCCCTTGCCGTTAGGTTCTTGGAAGCATATAGCAGAGTGCAAACTTACTGAATGCAGCTCATTCTTCTGTGACATATGTTTTCAGACATCTTTGCCAGAAGCTAGGCAGTGGTCAGCTGCAAAGGTCAGACTGCCCCAGAGTTACCTGGAAGCAGCTTATAGCAGTAGAAATAATGGTGAGAGATTTGAAATCACATTTGAATTTCTCTCTAGGACTGGTCCAAGAATGTACATGATAGTTTCTATATCATATTCTGCCCTGGCAGCCCAGGCATTGTGGGAGCTGTTGTGCAGGGTAGACTTGTTAAAACGTACATTTACAACGAGTAAAGGAGAAACTTGCCCCTTTAGTCATAATAGTTAGCTGTTGCATGGCAAAGGTTAATAAAGCCCTGACCCTATCGCCTTAACAACACAGTTTGTAAGAGCTTGTAAGCATCAGGTGCATTGGAGCCTCCCACTTCATCTCTCCTTTGAAGTGGGTGGGAACTCAAGGAGCAAAGAACCAGTTTTGGAAGAAAGCTCTGGGCCACTTCAGATTCTTTCATTCTCATGATTTTCTCTCAGGAAACACGCACTGTGAATGGCAGGCTTTTCGTTTAGCCCCAGGTGACTTACTAAAAATAGTTCAAAATATTCACCTAAGAATAGAATCTCAGCCTTTTAGTTTGAAGTAAAAATGAATATTTCAGAATGCACAGGATGTTAATATTTTAAAGAAAACATGTACTTTTTAATAGAGAAATTTATAGTTTGACTCCATGATGTGGTCCTATCCATAATGATGAGAAAAACACTTAAATTGTACCAAACATTTTGAATCTTAAATTATGTATTCAAAATGAGCTTTTAACCAACTATAGCGCCTTCTCTTAAAAGTAGTGCCAGTAAGAGTCAGTAACGGCAATTTCTACCCGTTATGGAAATTTAATCATGTAAACTTCCTAATATAAACATATTAAATTTCTTCTCTCCAAAGAATTGCTTTTCTTTTAAGTGACAACTTGACTATTTTTATGATAAGCATATGAGAGTTATCACACATTTTCCAAAAGCAGGCTGTGTTGCATACTTGGCTCTAAGAAAGAATAATGTTAAAAGCTTAATAAGCCCCGAGAATTACTTAATTATGTTGATATAGAGACTATAGAATATTTACTTTGGCAAGAAAATACTGAAATGTTATCAATTCATAGATATTGTTAGAATTCATAAGAATGCATGTTTTACATTGATATAAAAATAAAGATATTAAATGATTTCTGATTCTTTAAAAATCAAAAAAAGAGCAAGCTATAAATAGAGGAAATTCTAGAGAAAATGAAGGTATTTAAAGAAGAATATTTCAAAGTGGAATGTATTTTGAGGGACATATATTTTAACAAACATATTGTAAGAATTGATATTGAAGTCATCTCACAACTATGAACTTGGAAAAGCCATTTCAAACAACTACCATTTCAAAAATTGAGCCAAGCAAACTAAACCATCTGTATTCCTTTCTCATTTCGTGGAAAAAAGCAGCCATATGAAGCTACACTTGTTAGGCAAGTCTAAGTTTGTTCTTTTAAAAAAAAAAAGTAAATTTTAAAAAGACATGTGCTTCCTATGCCACCAGGACTTTTGAATAATTGTGAAACCCAAACCATTTACCATGTGCATATGCATTTAATGCATGCAGATATATGAGTAGGAAGATAGTTCCATATTTCTTCTCCGCAGTGGAGAAACTTCTTGAGGTGACCAAAAAGCTGTCAAGCAATGTGAGTCCTCAGAAGATTAGTAATGGTGTTTTCCTCAAAAGCATAAGAAAATGGCATTTCCATTTCTTATCAATGCAGTTTTCAACCTAGTTTTGTTACATACCTATATCTCAAGCATTTCTAACATCTGCTTTTTCAGAAAATAAACCAAAAATATTCTTTTGGCCTTTTCTATCATCTGACCTTTGGAAAAAAACAAAAAGAGGAGGGTTCTGATTTTCTCAGTTAGTTGTTTTCGTTTGTGTGTGTTTTTTAATGACGTATGAATGGGCTATTTCTCAGCAATCCAGGGAGTTCATTTAGATAAATGAATAGACTTCCATCAACATACTGGTTTCCTTGATACTGGTGCTCTGGCCTTCAAGAAGAAAACAAGAGCCACCTGAAAAGAAATAATGGCTTTTTTCAGGCAGCAACTTAAGTTCTGTTACAGCAATTGGAAGTTAATATTGTAGGGAAAAGAGATACAAGGTCTTTTAAAATCCACGCTCTCCTGAGATGAGCTTTCTTGTTTTATTCCAGTATATTCCACAAGGTGGCACTTTTCATGGAGGCTGGGAAGGGGGTTGGAGGGGGGGAATCTGAGGCTAAAGAGCTATTTCTGAACACTTCATTCTAATTGTATTTTTGTGCACATACTTAACTCTTGTCTAGCACTTGTTTTTTAGGAGGCAAATAGTCTTCATACTATTCTGTAACTTAGACATTTTAGTTGTTAGCTAAGTTCTGAAGGATTGCTATTAAATTTTTCTGGAGGATGAGTAATACTCTCATTTTGATCATTTAAGTGGATAAAGAAAGCTTAGGCATTCATTTAAGAAACATTTTGAGGTAGCTAAATACCTCACTTTTCTAGGTGCAAAAGTTTCCAAGATGGACAGACTTACTACTAAAAAGGCAGCACTAGGTCTTGTTAGGAGTGTAAAACTCCACCAGTGCCCCAGCCCACGTACCAAACCCATGTTTGCTGCTTTCACATCCCCACATCCCCTACCATCGTGGCCTTTAGACAATTCAATGTCTTAACTCTAATTTAAAAAACGGATGAACAAAGTAAGTAGCACATCAGTTACTAAATAGCAAAACTATTTTTTCCTAAAGAATTGGCTATGCTGAAATAGCCCTGAAATACTAAAAGACCTGCTAATTTTTACATTTGTATAATCACAAGTGTAAATTCACAAGAAATTACAAATTAAAAATTTTTTTGTCTAGACATGAGTATGCTAATTTAGGAATATATCTACACTAGTCTTTAATTTCTCCATTTGTGTAGTTCTCGGCAATTTTATTATAGATATAAATATAGATATCCATATACTCATGTTTTAATTCACAGGTCTGCCCCAAAACCCATTAAGCCCCCAAGTTTTAGTTCATTTTAGAAGTCACTTTCCCCAGTTAGCGTCACTGAAATTTAGGAGGAAGGAAATCACAGTATTTTTCAGAGTTTCCTTAACACAGCATAACAGAAGGCAAGTTTATTCCTAAGGAGTGAGGGAAGTTCCATAGTGCCTGCTTAGCTTTCCTAAAGGGTAGCGGGCAGGCAAGTCTCAGTAATTCACACTGAATCAAAATAACGCACACACCAGAGGCTGTCCAAAAGCTCATAAATCATCGGCCTCGTCCCTCTGCTTCAAGTCCCACTGAAGCAGGTTACAAGTCAAGGCCGAATTCGAACCACGAATTTGGTATCAGTTGGGCCAGTGTTAATTCTGGCCGAACACCTTCGGGGCGCGCTGCTCGGGCCCCGCCCCTTTGGCAGTAGAGCGGCAGTGGGCGGAGCTGGCTGGGACCCGCCCGCCGCTCACCTGTTAGTGCTGAAATGACGTGCAGACCCGGCTGGAAACGCCGTGGTCCACGTGCCTGCTGCTGTCTCAGAGGCATCTGTTCTGCAACCTTCGGGCGTAAAATGTCCCGAGAAGTAAACGGGTGTCTTCTGTGCATACATAAGTACAACACAATTCTCCGGAGTTCAGGTAATAAAGAGATGCTGCTCTGTATGAAGCTGTCTATCAGGCATCTCTCAAGCTCTAAGCTCAGTTGCTTTTTTTTTTTTTAAAGAGGATATGTATAATTACAGGAAAGTTGTTTTTTTTTCAATTTTCTATCATTCTACATATATGATGGCAAAAGATATGCCTGGAAGGGTTTTGTTGTGTAAATTGTTTATTTTCTGCTTCATCTTCAGTTGCCAAAAGCTCCTAACTCTTTTGTTCCGATTTTTTTTTCTTTTTTTTTTCTTTTTTTTTGTCAAGTAATTAAAGAAATGTTAGCAAAGTATCTCATGTAGTAGGGGAATTTCCTGGTTAGAGGAACTTTTGTGTGAATTGTTTTGTTAAGCAAATAATCCTTTATTTTAGGTGTTTGGATTGTCAAATGTAGGTTTTTCTTAAAGGGGGCACATAACTGTACATATTACTACCAAGAACTATGACTGTAGCACTAATCAGCAAGCATATTGGTAGAGCCACACAGTTAAGTTCTAGCCCTCTGTGGTTTCTAGCCAAATTCCGTTTATGTGCTTAGGTTACAGTCTGGCAGATAGCCTGTATACCCTCACTTGAAAGTTTCTGATGTTAAGTTTTATGAAATGCTATAACATGTATTAGCTAACAATAGTTCTATGCTCACCAGCAACTCTGAACTTGACCTTGAAGTCTCTGAATAATGAAAATAGATTTCAGCAATAATACATTTACTGAACACCCCCCAAGTGCATTATATATCTTCTCATTTTGGTCCTGTGTTGGCAACAATGTATACATGACTGTTATAGTTCCTCACTTATTTGTATTCATTTATTTTGCTATGACAAATAATAAATACATTAGTACATGGAGTGAATAGCATCAACTACCCCTAGGATCAGCACTTAACAAGATGGGGAATATCTATTTCAAGTTTTTCTACTTTTGCATAAATTATTTCTATTATTATTCATTTATATTATTTATTGCTGCATCACACTAGTCCTGTGAAAGTTCAACTGAAGGCAGACTGCATTAGGGTATGCATTTAACCTTCATGATCATGGTCTTGACAGAGCTAAGAAAGTAAAGATTAGACTCAGCCCCCAAGTAAGCTGCATGCATTTTAACATGATAGTAGGATTTAAGTCTATAGCTATAGTGTTTTTATGTCTAGATGTCTTAATTATCATTATGTAAGGAATTAAAGCAAAGGAATTTGTAGTTGTTCTTTTGTCAAATATGCATATAATAATATAGTGTGAAAATATAGCAACAATAAAAACTACAGACAGAAAATCATCCGATACTGCCTTAATTTAGGGACTCTGCCAGATGGCCACTGGAGTTGATGCCAGGCCGAGACTATGGGTGCCAGTGCAGAGCCTCTTGTCTGGCCTAGAGAAGAGCCTCCACGTGCGATCTAGAGCCCTCGTAGGCATTGTGTGCAGTAGTGGGAACAGGTAGTTTTGGTGCAAGGAGAGCATTGTGAGAGTTTTCTGTAGAAGCAGAACTGTCAGCTTGTGCCTTGAAGCTTCCAGAATGTGCTAGATGGAGAAGTCCAAGTTTCCGTGCTTCACATGACTTGGTTTTGTGCAGAAGCAATCCAGTCTGGTAGTAAAAACAAGGACTGCGTGTACAATAGTCAACAGTGGGATCTTAATAACCAATAATTCCCAACAACCTCAAAAGCTTGTTGCATTTCTGGTGTTTTAGGTTTTGATCTGAAGGCTAAATGGCAAGTGTTTGGTCTAGCAGAGCAGGGTGTGTTAAGGAGAGCACAGTATCGGTGCCCGTAGATGGCAGGTTAGAACTAGAGGGTCTTGCAGGATTATCATTTCTGAGATGTGTGAACTGTAGTCGTGTTTCTGCATTCCCATAGGGCCTTAACATAAGAAAACGTTCTTCTAGGTTTCAGCACGGATGTCACACCCAGTGGGCTTTTTTTTTTTTTGCTTTTGTTTTTTTTACTTAGACTAGGAAAGGTTCTAAGAGTAGAAAAAATCTTAATTTAGACATTTGCTTTGTTGGTTTCTGTGTTTGAAATCACGGTTCTGGAGGTGCGGAGACTGTGCATGTGCATGTCAGATACTAATCTGGGCTGTGTGAGCCAGCCCAGGAGAGCTAATGCTCGCCCATCCCTGCATCTCTTCCTCCCTCCCTCTGAGGTGCTCCCTGCCCTCATCCTGGCCAGTCCATGTGGTGCTCTCCATCCGCCTCTGCTGTTCTTTGGGCATCAGGGACATGATGAAAGATCCTTTCAGCATCACGGGTGTGCTCAGGTTTGGCCGCCGTCCTTACCGGACGCTCAGCTGGCCACAGTCATCAAGAGAAGGCTCCTGGTGCTGGGCACAGAGTGTGCTCACAAAACCAATCCCAAATGCCCTCTAGCATCTTTGTATATACCTTGATTTTTAAGCCAAGTCATTCTACAGAGCATTCAGTTTGGGCTGTGATACAAGGAGAAAAACTAACCAAGAATACAAACCACATTTCAGGCTGCTGTTTTCTGTCCATTTACAGGCTATCCTTTTACTGTATTTCTTCATACTTGAAACTCATTCCGCTATTTTAATATCAGGGTACAGACTCATAAGGGTGCATGTTTCTTAAAGGTGCAAAATTACTCTCATTCCGTTTGCTCGTGTTGCTACAGAATGCTCTGGTTTGGTGCTTTGGGTTCAGCAGGTCAGAGAAGCAGTGTGGAAATTTACTGTCTGGAACATAGTCTTACAAGAATGTTGGCAGATGGCTTGATGTTAGATAAGGCTCTGCTCTTTTCTCTGTACACAAGGTTGAGAGTTACCACACTGGCCTGGCAGGTTCAGCTGGGTACCCTTCCTCACAGGCTGCATAAACCCTGTGCTCTCCAAAAGTGGGGGAGGGGTGTGTGCAGCTCTCTGAAAGCAGGGAATCTCCCTACATATCAGGATCATTTACCCTTAAAGAAAAACGGCCTCCGGTGGAGACAGGAACAGAATGGGGAGGACTGTCTCACTCTAGTGACCATCCCTCCTTTCTATAAAGAAAACCCCCCTGAGGAGGAAAAAAAAAAAAGAAAGTAAGAAAGCCTATCTGTAAAGTTATCCTCTTCATAGTACCCTGAGCTGAATAATCTTGCTTCCTTCCTATAGGTAAATGAAAATGCAAGTCAGTTGATCTAGACCTGAAGAAGAAAATAAAAAAGTAGGTGTTTGTATAGATGAAATATGCAAGCCAATGGCCACCAAAACTTACATTAAATACCCCATCACCAGCCATCTGTTTTTAAAAGCTCAAGTAAAGAATGTTTTATGACCCCGGGTTTCTGAGGTCAGAGGTAGCCATTCTAGCATGCGCCTTACTCTTAAGAATTACTTGGAGAGAGAACTGCCAGTAGTGAACACTGCAGTGGAGAAGGTAACATGTCAGAAAATTCAGGGGGTTGCAGATCAATAACCCTTTGGAAACTGGATGTCTTACTGGGTGCTAGAATGCAATTTTGGGTATTTATTTTCAGATAATGGAAAATTTATTGTTCGTTAAGAATTGGTGTTGAAATGTCATTGTTTTCTCTTATACACAAGCTCCATGGAAGCAAAAAAATGCTTTGTATACTTGTCATGCTTTCTGTATTTCTTACAAGAAGATTGGTAGCAAATAAAAATAATAAAAACAGCGATTTAAACAGCTTTCTTGGAGATGCGTTACTATCCTATTTTTTATTATAATGTAAAATGAATATAATCGCAGTCAGTAAAGTAACATTTAATAAGTTTTAGCAGAGTATGTTTTAAACTTCAAAGAGACTCCTTTTCAGGCTTCAAATGTTTTTAAAAAGTAAATAGCAGTTCCTTGTGCTTAGAGGTTCAGTCACAGCTATTTAATAAGCTCTTATGAGCTGACCGTGCTAAGCACTGAAGAACTGAAAATGAGTGAGGCATGGGCAGGCCTTTCTGACGCTTACAGGGGAAATCTGTGGAAAGGTCTGTGTGACCAATTGCTGATGACCTGGAGATGAACCAAAAGTTTGCATCAGAAGTGACGTTTGAGTGGACTCGAAACAAGTCCATGTTTGCCATCCCGACAAGGAAAAATACTTCCCGTGTGCAGAGGCATGCAGTTCTGAAAGAGCGGGCAGCAAGACTGCAGAGGTCACACCTGGAGCAGTGGCTTTCAGACACCTGGGTCATAGCCTATAGAAAAAATAGAATCTAACCGCATGATCTGGTACATATACACACACGGACATTATCAGAAACTTGTATTTCACAAAATGATGCGATGTGTCCCACACACGTTCTGTTTTATTATCCTCCACTCTGAAAACACTGGTGGCAACCCACCAAACTGATTTCATAACCCCACTAAGAGGCCATGACTTAATATTAGAAAACAGTTAGTCAAGGGGTGTAGGGGAGCTGTATGAAGGAGTCAGGAAGTGATGTCATGAAGGGCTCAATATACCATATAAAGGAGTTTGGAACCACCGAAGGATTTGGGAGGGGGATAATATTTGTTAATGTTGGCCCATTTTTGTTCCACCCCTTATATACGAGATGCAGAGTGACAGACCAAGCAGTACCTCGATACACACAACAAAGCCAACATGGGGTCATAGCTGCTGCCTCTTACATGTTCCCCTCTGTGTGTGCAATACCAGGTATTTGTAAATTAGTCCATCAGCGTTCCCTGGGAATTCTCTCGTTAGGACTTGCCTCAGTTATTTTTAACAGGCCCTAAGTTGTGTCTAGATTTTTAAAACTACATGAACTATTCAGGAGGGATAATAAAAGGAGTCAAGAATTTGATCTTTATTACAAAAATTCAGTTTGTAATTTAAGAGGTCAGTCGTAGTTATACATGTTTACAAACCATAGGTATGTACAACCAGATTAGACTGGACCATTGTTTTCAAAGCAGTGTACAGAAAGATCCTCCAGTCAGTCATCTCTGGTTATCCATGCTCTACTCACATAGAACCTCATTTCATTGACAGCCTTTGTCACTGATTCTGCCCGTAGTGGTGTCAGTCCAACGTATACTTCCTTGTTCTCTAGGAAGAACTAGTGGATGGGCCCCAGGAGGCCATCCTTGTTCTGCAAATGCCACTTTTCCTGGACCATGTCAGCCTCTTACACATCTGGAAGTTCAAGTCAGGGTGACCACATTTCTCCCTGTGGCATGCAGAGGATCGTGAGGTGCCAGTCTGTGGAGAGAAGGAAGTATAGAGACTGAATCCAGCCAACCTTCTGGTGCCTGTTCCCTGGGCTCAGAAACGCCCCATATCCTTAGAATAAAGTCTGCTCCAGATTTCATTTTTTCTTTCAATGTCTGTAGCCCAAGTAAATTTCTGTTAATTGCAGCAAACATCCTATTACAGCTTCCTCCTCCACTCTATCTGCACGGCAGCATGGGGCCCCTGCTCTGCACTGTAACTTAAAGCTAGTGAAAAGCTAAGTCGAAAAATTGTGTACTTATTTCAGTGTAGATAAGAACAAAAAAATAGTAGAGCCTGCACTTTTCAAATTGGGGTTCCCAGAAACCTGGGATATACAAGGGAGGATACAAAGCTAGATAAACAAGGTCTACCTTCCTCAATACTCAATTTTACTTAAAAGAAAAATGTTTCTTATTAAAGATGCTCTTTATAAAATACATTTTTAAAAAGGTGTAGAATAGAATGCAACATTCAAATTTTTAAAATAATATAGCCAACTTCAAAGACATTTTATGATTTTAATAACTACACAGGACTATGCCACCAGATCCCCTTGACACAATTCACTCTCCTGTGGAAAATTTTGAGAAGTACTGAATCAGCCAGGAGGAGGCAGCACTTGGAATGGGGCCCATTGTTCTGAATGCTATGCCTCCTGTGGTCTCTAGGATTCCTCATTGGAAAAATGACATCTGTTTGGACAGTGTATGCAGAAACCTGCTAAGCAAAGTCAATTTACTTATATTCACTGAGCATCTACCACTGGCCTCCACTCTCAAAGAGCATCTGATAGGCAGAAGTGTCAAGAGAAGCATTGGTTCAATGGTGATGGTTAATGATAATAGACCAGGGGTGGGCAAACTTTTTGACTCAGGGGCCACAATGGGTTCTTAAACTGGACCAGAGGGCCGGAACAAAAGCATGGATGGAGTGTTTGTGTGAACTAATATAAGTTCAAAGTAAACATCATTACATAAAAGGGTAGGGTTTTTTGTTGTTTTTTTTTTAGTTTTATTCATTTCAAACGGGCCAGATCCGGCCCGCGGGCCATAGTTTGCCCACGGCTGTAATAGACCCTTGTTGGATTTCATTGTGATACAGTTAGTCAACTGTGGGTGCAGCAAAAATGGCACTCTGTAGAGGAGAAGGGGGTTCAGTAAACCCAAGGGCCAGGCATTCTGGAACATTCCATACAAGCTATCTTATTTCATCAAGTCATTCTTATCAACTCCAAGTGAGAAGTAAATGGTGTGGTCAGTTCTGGAAGAAGATTGCATATCACATTTAAGAAAGAAATACAATTGCATACTTTAGGCTCTAGAGGTGCTTGGAACAGAGTAGAAGTTCAATTTGTGTTGAATGAATAAGTGAATGAGTTTCCAGTGACCAATTTATATGTAACTGTCAATATAAAATGATTACATGCTCACCATAAAGTACTTAAAGAACACAAACACTACAAAGAAAAAGAGTATTTCTTAAAATGCCACCTTGTAGGTAAAATCATTTCTAACATTTTGACAAGTTTTGGATACCAAGCTTTACATAGATACATACAAGTTATGGAACTATAATTTTACTCTTGGAGACAAGCTGTCCAACCCACTCAATACTTGTAAATTGTGCTCTGGGGATTATTTGTTACTTTACATCATATCCTGGATAACGTGTCATTTCAATGACTACAAATCTGTATCACCATCTGTTATGGCTGTATAGTATCCCATTGTATAAATGTGCTATAATTTACATAGCCAATCCTCTATTCGTAGGTATTTCTCCCCACACTATTCCCACTTTTCACTGTGTGAAACAATGCTTCCATGAGCAGTACTGTGCATGCATCTGTTTGTATGTGTCGGCAGTTTGATTTAAGCCATCTAGTCACTGGAAACTTGTTTACTCGTTCTTTCAACCACAAGTCAAAGAATGCCTGGGGCCACGGAAGTCAAAAGAAACAGGGAGAGCCTTCACTGGGATCGCGGCCCTGTGGACACCTTGATCTTGGACTTCAAGGCTCCAGAACTGTGAGAAAATAAATTTCTGTTGCTTAAGCCACCCAGTGTGTGGTACATTGTTGTGGCAGCTCTAGCAAAATAATACAGTAATTCAATGGGGGAAAGGACAATCTTTTCAACAAATGGTTCTGGAGAAATTGGATATCTATTTGGGGGGAAATTGAACCTTGATCCTTACCTCATAAGAAGAAAACATAAAAGGAAATCTTGTGACTTTGGGTTAAGCAATAATTTTTTAGAGAAGACACAAATGGGAAATATTGATAAATGGCACTTCATCAAATTTAAAACTTAGGCTCTTTGAAAGACATTCTTAAGAAAATAAAAAGGCAAACCACCAATTGGGAGAAAAAGATTGCAAAACATTCTGGCAAAGGATTAGTATTCAGAAAAATAACCTACTTTTTTAAATGGGAAAAAGATTTGAAATGACACTTTACCAAAGAAGATTATTAAAAAAAAAAAATAATAAGAACCTAAAAGATGAACAACTGCATTAATCATTAGGGAAATATAAATTAAAACCACAATGAGGTATCCCTACACACCTACTAGAATGGCTAAAATGTTTAGATTAGGGAACACCAAGTATTAATAAATATGTGAAACAACTAAAAATCTCACCATTGATCTCAGTAATGCAAAATGACATAGCCATTTTGCTGGGGGTTAAAGTTAAACATATACTTATAATTCAATTCAATATTCTACAGCTTAATGTATTTACAATTCAATGTAAATATATTCTAGGTATTTAACTTGAAAGAAATGGTAACATACACAGGAACACCTATATAGGAATGTTCATAGCAGCTTTATTCATAATAGGCAAAAAAAATCCAAATGTCCATCAAAAAGTCAATGAATATGCAAAATGTTATTTATAAATACAGCGGCTACTACTTAGCAATAAAAGGGAACAGCTGTTGATATAAACAACATGAGTGAATCTCAAAAGTATTGTAAGTGAAAGAGGTCAGACACAAAAGGCTACCTCCTATTTGATTCCTCTTATATGAAACTCTAGAAAAAACAAAAAACAAATCAGTAGTTTCCAGGGGCTAGAAGACAGGGAAAGGAATTAATTAAAAAGAAATACAAGGTAATTTTTTATAAAAAATGAAAATGTTCTAAATCTCTTTTTTTTAAAGGTTTTGGTTACTATTAAATGAACAAACTATTTTTTTTATATATTTTATTGATTTTTTACAGAGAGGAAGGGAGAGGGATAGAGAGTTAGAAATATCAATGAGAGAGAAACATAGATCAGCTGCCTCCTGCACACCCTCTACTGGGGATGTGCCTGCAACCAAGGTACATGCCCTTGACCGGAATCGAACCTAGGACCCTTCAGTCTGCAGGCCGATGCTCTATCCACTGAGCCAAACCGGTTAGGGCTCTATATCTTGATTGTAGTGGTGATTACATGACTGTATACATTTGTCAAAACTCATCAAACTGTACATTTTAAACTGGTAAATTTTATTATATGTAAACTACACTTCAGTAGAGCTATGTGTTTTTTAATTAAAGGCGTTCTCTTTCAACACTAACAAAAGCCAACCTGAAATAAGAGGCCAAAAACTTTTATAGTTTGTGAGTCACCTCAGTAGGGATAGAACAAGGGGAGAATTATAGTGAAATTATTGCACATTGATTCACTTAAAGCTCTCATGAGTATCAGGAATTTTCCCTTCTGAGTCATTTTACTTGGTAACTTCCACTACCTTTTTCCATTAATAGTACTGAACTAGGAGTTTATTACTTGCATTTCATAATTCAAAATCCTGGTTTTAAAAAATCCTCTTTATGTCTTGTACACTGAGAAACATACCTGTCAAGAGCACAAAATAATCATGTTTACTGGTCAATGTTTTTTCTCAATGTAGGTAAAATTGCATCCAGAAGTTACATGGTGAGTATGGAATCAGAGAAAGGGGAGTTGATTAGCTGAACAATCTTCCATAAAATAAAATAAATCAGAAAAGAAGGAGATATGGTGAAAAATAAAAATCCCCATGCCCTGTCCCCCTCAACCCACTAGTACTACTATGAAGCAACCAACACTAAAGGTTTATTGGGTAAACATTTCAGAAAAATTTCTGGACATATTCAAGCATATATATGTAATAATTTGAACCATATGAAATTGCCATCCTTATCGGTTAGAGATTGCTGAATATCAACAATTTCATATAGTTCAACCAATATTTATATTCTATTGTTAATGCACATGCGCTCATATTCTATATAGAGTTCTGCGCTTCTTTCTCTTAATATGTAAAGTGGCCATTCTTCCATATCAACACATGCAGCTGTACATCACTTTCTAAATGCCTAGTTTGTCATTGTATGGTTGTACCATACTTTATTTAACCAGTTCCTTTGTGATGGGAATTTAACTTGTTTCCTGTCTTTTGCTCCCTTGGTTAATATAGTGGGTGATGAAAATAGCTGTTGTCTTCAAACATTAAAGTGCTCTGCTTCCATCTCCAGTCTAGGGATGTGCCCACCCAAAGGACAGACACTTGGCTTTATGGATTGGGTTTCTGTGTCTCTAGCTATTGTTAAAATTTTTTGATACTCACACAACAATGAAAAGTATGTGAAAACCAGTCAACTATATTATTAAATTTGGATAAAGACCCCCAGTTCCACTTTAATGTTAAAGATGCCATTTGAGTTAAAATCTTTGAATGCTCTTCAGGGTGAAAATCCCTCCCCCAGTCAATTAGTATTATTGTCACTATTTAAAACTTTGCCCTTCATCAATGCTCATGTTACTCCCTTGTTCAAAAGCGTTGCCTGCAGAATAAATTAAAATGTCTTCAATCAAGGCCCTCGGCCTCTAGCTCCAATGTACCTTTCCAACCTTGTTTCCCCTCTACCAGACGTGGTCTGTGCTGCCACATCACCTTTCCTTTCACTCAGGCCGTTCCCTCTGTTTGGAATGTCCTTCCCAATCAGATCCTCCGTAGGAATTCTGCCCACCTTCATGTTACCTGTAATGCCACTTCTCAACTCTCCTTCACCCCTCCAAAGCCAGTGTGAGTTTATAAGGAAAGCACATGCTTTCAAGTGTCTCACACCTGCATTGGACAATGCAATGCCAAACGGAGGTGAGTTGTCTTGGTGAAGGCTGCTGCACTCTCTGTCCGCGGTGGGTGGTGAAGAACTGGAATGGGTGACCGCCGGCGCTGGCCTCTCCTCCGCGCCGACAGGTGGCGCTGTGGCCAGACGCGGCCGTACGGTCCGCGCGGCGCCGCTCTCTGGGCGGGGTGGGGCATCGACAGAAGGTCCCGTGAGCGCCCGCTTCGGCCGCTCCGCTGGCCTGGTCTCTCTCGGCGTCTCACGGTCCGCTCAGCCCAGCACCATGGGGAAGCGGGACAACCGGGTGGTGAGTATCTGGCGGGAAGAACAATGGGGCGACGTGGGGCCCGCGGCCGAAGAGCGGGATCCCTCAGCCTTCCCGGCCGGGCCTGAGGGTCGGTTGTGGCGCTGGGACCTGGAGCCTGGAGACCCAGCCTCCCCCACCCGCAGCCCCCACGCTGGTTCGGGACGCGCGTGCGCCGAGCTCACTGTTGGCGCCTTCGGGGGGCCCCCTCCCTCTTCCCTCTCCCCTCTCGCCCCCCACTTTGCTCCACTACCCTCAGCCACGCCGCAGCCTTTCCAGTGCTCCCAGGCTCCCTGTCTGAAGTACTGGGGCCAGCAGTGCCCCTCCCCCCCCTTATTTTTAGAGCTGCAAGAGCTCAGGGAGACCGGTTCTCTCCGATAAGTCCGAGGTTCGTGGAGGCGCGGGGGCTCGCGCCCCACCTCTGCGCCCCTCTCGTGCGCACCCAGGTGGGATGGAGGCGCGGGGGCCTCCTACGCGGTCCCTGCGCCCCGGTTCTGGCGCAGGCGCGCTCCCGTTTGCAAACCCGGGGTCGAGGCATGTGGCTGGGGGTCCGCCTCGCCCAGCGCTGGAGGCCCCGGGAAGGACTGAATGGCGTGAAAATAGCTGGCTTTGGAGTCGGCTGGGAGTGTTGACATTTTGGGATATCGGTTTTGGTCCCTCGGGAGCTGGGTGACGCAATATCAGCTGCCTCTCTCTGAGCCTCAGTTTCCTCTTCTGTAACACATCAGTGATAACCCTCAACCTATCGTTGAGACCACGGAAGGGAGGACGGCCAGGCAAGTGCTTGGCATGGAAGTTGTTATTCTAGGAGGTGAGATAAAAAGAAGTGCATAAATAGTAGGGTAGGAAATGACATCTGGTGGAGGCTTGAGGCTCCGAGGGCATTCAAAAGGGTAGGTGCTCTTGGCAGGTGGGGATGGGAAGAAGGCATTCTAGATGGCTGCTGGGTTGCTTGGCTTGGAAAACCCAGGTTATGCCGCCGATCGGATGGGCCGTGAACACAGATGAGCAGTAAACGTGGGTGGCAGCCTTACAGTTCCTAGGCTTGCCTACGCCGGGGTTTTGACCACTGAGCACCAAAATAAAAAGATAGATGCAAATGAAAGCGAATGTACTAAATTGAATGAACTCGCTTTTTCTCAACGATTATTTCCTTTGCACGGTTGTTTTTGGGGGGGCGGGGGGTGCTGAATGATCTTTGCTTTTGTGAAATGATGACATTTTCCATCTTCAAAACGTTTAATTTTATGTAGTCTTCATAAAGTCAAGGTGTCTTAGAAACAACCCTAGTGAACGTTGAGTACAAGGTTGAAGCGTGCTCTTTTCTCCCGCTTCCCAGGATCTCCAGGAGTGGAAGTGGTGTCTGCTGGACCATCCTTCAGGCTTGGGGTGTTGAGTGTTTGGGCTCTGTGATGTGCGTGGGCCTTGAATGTTTAGAATGTATCAGGCCTTGGGTCCGGGTTCATACGGAGGCCTGGGATGTTTTGTTTTACTCGGGATATGTGTTGGTTGGTACGAAGCATTCCTTTAAAGCATTTGGAACGTGTTCACAAGCGAGCTTCACTTACCGCAGGGCATTTTGATAACTCTGGGCTCTGCTTGTTTCTCTGCATGGTGTCTTGGCGCAGAGTGTTCTGGTGACATTTGGTTTGCACTTCAAAGGTTGTTGGTATGTGAAAACATGAAAGACGCGGGTTGTCAAATTCAGTGTTCCATTGTAATGGAGGAGGCGGTGGAACTGTTTAAATTGGGAACAAAGCTTGGATCATCTGATACTTAGCCCAGTAGTAATAATTCTTGAATTTAAATAACAAAATGAGAAGCAACTCTTAACCATTTGCAACAGCATGGATGGACCTGGAGAGCATTATGCTAAGCGAAATAAGCCAGTCAGAGAAAGATAAATATCACATGATCTCACTCATTTGTGGGATATAATGAACAATATAAACTGATGAACAAAAACAGATCCAGAGACAGAGAAGCATTGATCAGACCATCAAACCTCAGAGGGGAGGTAGGGGAGGGTGGGGGTAAGGGGGAGAGATCAACCAAAGGACTTATATGCAGGCATATAAGCCTAACCAATGGACACAGACACCAGGGGGGTGAGGGCATGAGTGGGGGGGGGGGGGGGGCCATGGGGGAATAAGGACACATATGTAATACCTTAATAAAGTGGAAAAAAAGAAGAAAAAACAAAATGAAAATATTGGCATTTTTCTTCTTACATTGATAAAATTATAGTTTTAAAGATGACACAATTGCTTTTTAAAAAACCATTAAATTTCAGTGGAAAAAAAATTTTAATGGATTATATTTTACAGCAGTTTTAGGTTCACAGCAAGATGGAGCAGAAAGTAGAGTTCCATATACTCCCTGTGCCAACATGTACACAGCCTCCCCCATTATCAACATCCTGCTCCAGGTATATTTGTTACAATTGATGAACCGACATTGACACGCCATTTTTACCCAAAGTCCATAGCTACATCAGGGTTGACTTTGATATTGAGCATTCTTTTATTTTTTAATATATTTTATTGATTTTTTTACAGAGAGGAAGGGAGAGGGGATAGAGAGTTAGAAACATCGATGAGAGAGAAACATCGACCAACTGCCTCCTGCACACCCCCCACTGGCACTGTGCCTGCAACCAAAGTACATGCCCTTGACCGGAATCCAATCTGAGACCTTTCAGTCCACAGGCCGACGCTCTATCCACTGAGCCAAACCGGTTAGGGCGATATTGAGCATTCTTGAACAGAGTGTGTATGTATGTGTTTTAATTGAACATTTTAATTCTCGAGATTTATAAATGGCCCTTAAATTCATGATGGTCAGTCACTCTTTGTGCCCATTGTTTTCCAGAAGTTTCCTTCATGGGTTTTTGTGTGTTTTTTCTGTTACTTTGTTCTAAGTAGATGTCTCCTCTAGATAAAAATAGGTAACTAAAGTAACAAATGCAGTTCTGCACATTTTGTCCTTAGTTTTACTACATGCTCTTTCCAACCTGCCCACTTAAATTCCTATGAGCCCAGTTTGCCATCCTGAGTTTCAAAAACAGATTTTTTTTCTTTTACCCAAACTCATGCAGCAGTTTGGAGCCACAACCCTAATATATAAAAAGCCACGGGCCGTCAGGACTGAAACAACTGGACAGACGACCAAACAGCAGGCTGCGTGGGGCAGCCAGATCGGCTGGGGGGTTAGTGAGGGACAACCAAACGACTGAACAGAAGGCTGCATGGGGCGACCAGACCGGCGGGGGGCGGGGGGCAATTGGGGGCGATCATGCCAGCATGGGGTGCAGTTAGGGGTGACCAGGTTGGCATGGGAGGGCAGTAAGGGGTGACCAGGCCAGCATGAGGGGCAGTTAGGGGCAATCAGGCAGGCAGGCAGGCAGGTGAGCTGTTAGGAGCCAGTGGTCCAGGATTGTGAAAGGGATGTCCAACTGCTGGTTTAGGCCCGATCCCTGGGATTGAGCCTAAACTGGCAGTCAGACATCCCCCAAGGGGTGATGGCTGGGCTGAGAGGACCCCCCCCCCACACACACACACACACACGAATTTTGTGCACCGGGCCTCTAGTCTATAATAATAAAAAAAGTAATATGCAAATTAGACCAGACAGCTGAACGACCTTCCAAACGAAGCCAGGGCTGCGAGGGCAGAGCCCCTTGTATGAATTTTGTGCATTGAGCCTCTAGTTCTTTTCTTTTTTTTATTTTTTATATTTTATTGATTTTTTACAGAGAGAAAGGGAGAGAGATAGTCAGAAACATCGATGAGAGAGAAACATCGATCAGCCGCCTCCTGCACATCCCCCACCGGGGATGTGCCCGCAACCCAGGCACATGCCCTTGACTGGAATCGAACCCGGGACCCCTCAGTCCGCAGGCCGACGCTCTATCCACTGAGCCAAACCGGTTTCGGTGAGCCTCTAGTTCTTATCCTATCTAATAAAAGAGAAACATGGTAATTAGCCGTACATACGCTACCCTTCCCATTGGCTAATCAGGGTGATATGCAAATTAACTGCCAGCCAAGATGGCGGCCGGCAGCCAGGCAGCTTGAAGCTAACATGAGTCTTGCTTGCTTCAGTGACGGAGGAAACCAACATTCCCCGCCTGCCTTGCCGGCCTCTGAGCTTGCAGTTTGAAACATTGTTACAAATATAGAAGCTAAACAAAACCCCAGAAACCTGCTTTCAGCCAGCCGGGATCTCAGAGCTGGAGTTGATACAGTGTTTCAATTATAGAACCCAAACAAACCAGATACCTGCTTTCAGCAGCGGAGGCCTAAGAGCTGGAGCCAGAGCTAAAGCTGGCCCAGAATAAAAAAAAAAAGGAAAAAAGGAGCAGTTGGGAGCTTCAATCACCTGCCAGCCTGAAAACAGCCCTCAGCCCCTCACCCAGACTGGCCAGGCACCCCAGTGAGGACCCCCTGACCGGCTGCAAACAGCCATCATCCCCTCACCCAGGCTGGCCATGCACCCCAGTGGGGACCCCCACCCTGATCCAGGACACCCTTCGGGGCAAACCAACCGGCCCCCACCTGTGCACCAGGCCTCTATCCTATATAGTAAAAGGGTAATATGCCTCCTAGCACCAGGATCAGCAGAGCTGCGAGGCCTCCTGGCACCGGGATCAGCATGACAGGGGCAGTGCCCAAACTCCCTGATCGCCCTGCGGCTCTGTGTGTGACAGGGGGCGGGGCCACCACCTCCCTATCCGCTCTGCTCTGTTCGTGACAGGGGAAGGTGCCCCAACCCCCTGATCAGCCCTGCTCTGTGCCTGATGGGGGGAGCTTGCCAACCCCCAGATCGCCCTGCGGCTCTGTGTGTGACAGGGTGTGGTGCCCCAACGGGCCCTGCTCTGTGTGTGACCGGGTAGAGCCATAACCTCCCCATCGGCCCTGCCCTGAGTGTGACAGTGGCGGCGCCCCAATCCCCTGATCCGCCCTGCTCTGTACGTGACAGGGTACAGAGCCCCAACCCCCTGATGGGCCCTGCTCTGTGAGTGACAGGGGGCAGTGCCCCAACCCCCTGATTGGCCCTGCTCTGTGCGTGACGGGGTGGCGCCGCAACCTCCCCATTGACCCTGCCTTGAATGTGACAGGGGGCGGTGCCCCAACCCCCCAATCGGCCCTACCCTGAGCGTGACTGAGGGTGGCATCACAACCTCCCAATCCGCCCTGCTCTGTGCATGACAGGGGCCGGCGCCCCAGCTCCCCAATCAGCCCTGCTCTGAGCCCGACCAGGGACTGCACCTAGGGATTGGGCCTGCCCTCTGCCACCCAGGAGCAGGCCTAAGCCAGCAGGTTGTTATCTCCCGAGGGGTCCCAGACTGCGAGAGGGCACAGGCTGGGCTGAGGGACCCCCCTCCCGCCCCCCCGAGTGCACAAATTTTTGTGCACCGGGCCTCTAGTATATTAGTAAAAGCATTTAAAGCAATTGAGTGATAGTGAGATGTTTCAAGAAATCACACAATTTCTTTATTTTAACTAATGCCTAACCACCCACCCCCTTCATGTTAGTATTCTTTTTCACACTGAAGTATAACAAGTGAAAAAGCTTTACCTTTGTAAAACAGTTACCTTTTTTTGTTTTAAAAGTCTTTCTCGTGCCTAGTAAAAGTATTGTTTAAAGATTAAGAGCACAAACTGAGAAAGACAAATATCACATGATCTCACTTATTTGTAGAATCTAATGAACAAATGAATTGACCAACAAATATGACCTGAAGCATGGAGGCATGGAACAGACTGACATACCTCGATGTGGAGTTGGGGAAACGAGAAGAGATAAACCAAAGAACCTATATACTAACAAATACCATTTGCTTTGATACCATTAATCCTTGCCTTAAACAAGAAACAGAATACTAGCCCTGCTGTTGTGGCTCAGGTGGTTGAGTGTCGTCCCATCAACTGAAAGGTTGCTTGATGGATTCCCCATCAGGGCACATACCTGAGTTGCAGGCTCAATCCCCAGTAGGGGGAATGTACGAGACTGCCAATTTCTCACATAATTGTTTTCCTCTCTCCCTCTCCCTCTCCCTCTCCTTCTCCCTCTCCCTCTCCCTCTCCCTCTAAAATCAATAAAAACATTTTTTTAAAAATTAAGTGAGCTTTTGTATTTTTAATGGTTATTTTAATGAAGTAAATTTTTGTTCTTTCCTCAAGGCCTATATGAACCCAATAGCAATGGCCAGATCAAGGGGTCCAGTCCAGTCTTCAGGGCCAACAATCCAAGATTATCTGAATCGACCAAGGCCTACATGGTATTTGTGAAATAATTTACCTATTTACGAAATGTTCATATATGTTTAAGCAGTTATTGTTATAACTTTTATTGATTGCCAAGCAACTGCCAGATATGTAATTTTGAAGTAATATTTGATATGTGTTTTTTAAATGTATGAAACACATGCATGAGTGTAAAGCAAACATTTGAGAACCCACCACCCAAAATAGCTAACACACTACCAGATAATCTTTTCACACCAATCTCTTCTCTATTCCCGAAAAATGAACTTAAACCTTGCAGTGTTCTTTTTAAAATGATAAATTTGAGTAATCTCATCCTTCATTGATGTGTAACTAGGCGTTAGGATAATGTTAGGCCTTGTTTCTAGTTTTATCTGCTGGCTTTTCCCATTGTAAGATTTTTGCTTTAAATTGATGTTTTTTGCCCTGGTTGAGTGGCACTAATCTTTTGTAAATAACATTCATAGCACTGGCCTTACTATTTTTAGTGTCTTCCTTATTATTAAATATCATATTCTTGAGGTGACACATGACAAGCTTGAGAGTTATCAGTTTAGACTCCTAAGTGCCTCTGGAAGCTGGGCAACTGTAGTTGAAAGTTGTGCTTACATATATAAGGGAATCCTTCCTTTGACTTAAACAGGAAGTAAGCATGTCCATCTCTTACAGAATTCATGAGTGCTATTATTGACTAATTGCAGCATACTGGAAAATAAATGATCCCAAAACAAAATATATTTTGTCTTTAAAACTGGGGGGAAAGAATGAATTTAAAGAGGATTGTGCTCCATCAAGTATAACGTGTGTCAGAGGTCCCCAAGAAAACTCCAAGGTCGAGTAATTCGCTAGGACTCACAGATAGTTGTCCTTGTGGGTAAGATTTATTGCAGTGAGGATACCAGCCACAGTCAGCAGAGGGAAAAGGCACGGGGGTGAAGTCTGAGGGAGACGGTGCAGGCTTCCAAGGCTTCCTCTCTTGTGCAGTTCACAGGACGTGTGTGAATTACCGTAGCAAGAGTTGTGATAACACATGTGAGATGTTGCCAACCAAGGGAGGTCATGGGGAGTCTGTGTGCCCAGGGTTTTAGTTGAGAACTGGCAGCCTCTGCCTATCAGGTGCCAAAACTCCAGACTCCCAGAAGGAATGCAGGTGTTCAGCCTAAACTATAAAGTTTGTACAAACGGGCACAGTAAACCACTCTTACCAGGGAATGGTAAGGACCCACCTAAAATCCAAGTTCCTAGACACCAGCCAGAGCCAGTTGTATAAGCAGGCCTTTCTACAAATAAGCAGTCAGGTGTGCTGTGCTCTCTTTTCTGCACATGTTGAGGTACATTATAAGATGGATGATTTACTAATAGAAGGTAATGTTTCAGTCAAATAGACCTTAGCTCACTCTAATGCTGAAACTACAATAGCTTTGTGACACTAGGCAGATTTCTAAGCTGCCCCAGATTGCAGCTACAATAATTTAATTCATCTTGAAGTAAAAGAATACTTTTTCTCACAGGATTGTTGTGAGGATTGAAGGAAAATATATTTAAAACAGTGCCTGTAACATGTAGTACTCAAATCTCTTCTGTATTAAACTTTTATAATCCATGTTTAGAAAAGGAGTGATTAGTGTTATCTGTTAGGCTTTATTATGATAATTGATTCACAAGGATGTGAACACAAATTCGAAGTGCATCAACACTGGAATGGAGGTTTATAAGTTAGGATACTAAGGTAACTTTATGAAATTTTGTTTTATTTATAAGCATCCATCCCTAATTTGAATTGCTTAAAAACATTTTTATATTCTATTTTTTAAGGGAAGAAGTGAAAGAACAACTAGAAAAGAAAAAGAAAGGCTCCAAGGCATTGGCTGAATTTGAAGAAAAAATGAATGAGGTTTGTACCTTTAAAAAAAAAACAGGCTAATGTAAGAAGAATGAAATAACTTTTTAATAAATGAAGGGTTTTGGCCTACCTCTTTAGGTTAAGGGGGCTCTGTATTTCATAGGTGTTTTTGTTTTATTGAGTACAGGTTTGTGTATAAATGTATGACTGCGTTAAGAAAGAGAGGAAAATCATCTTACAGTGATTTAAATCTTGAAGTTTTCTAAATGTTAGGTTCTGCCCCTTCTCTCCCTTATCCACATCTTATCCTGAGATTTCCATGGTGATATTTGCTTGCTTTGATTACAAACACGTATCAGCATTTCAGCCACAGTATAGATTAATTTAATTTTTACTGTTTGGAAAAAAATCTAACCATCTTTGTTAGAAAAAAAAAATCCTAGCCTCAGTAATACCTAGTCTCAATATACAGTGGAGAATTCCCATCTCTTAATGTCCTCTTTAAAAACAACTGGCAAAGGCTTGTTTGGTGTTAGAATAGAGGATTCTGGCACCTGGAGTATCTTTTGTAATTAGAGGCTGGATGGGTGAGAGGATTGAGAAAGGAAACAGTGGCTGTCTTACATATTAGATGTATTGTAAGGGGATAGATGCCCTCTGATGGTGTTTATAACCTTTTTGCAGAACTGGAAGAAAGAACTAGAAAAACACAGGGAGAAATTATTAAGTGGAAGTGAGAGCTCATCCAAAAAAAGACAGGTAAGACCATGTTTACTGCTATCCTTAATTTCACAGTTGGGTTTCCATAATACTGCTATATACCATTATTAATAGACTAGAGCAGTGATGGCGAACCTATGAAACGCGTGTCAGAGGTGACACGCGAACTCATTTTTTTGGTTGATTTTTCTTTGTTAAATGGCATTTAAATATATAAAATAAATATCAAAAATATAAATCTTTGTTTTACTATGGTTGCAAATATCAAAAAATTTCTATATGTGACACGGCACCAGAGTTAAGTTAGGGTTTTTCAAGATGCTGACACTCCGAGCTCAAAAGGTTCGCCATCACTGGACTAGAGGCCCAGTGCACAAATTCGTGCACATTGAAAGGAAATTCATTAGAAGAAATATTTTAGAGACCAGGAAGGGATTGCGGGAGGTCTCCAGAGTGTATCCTGCCCATCTTACCCAGTCCCAATCGGCTGGACCCCAGCAGTAAGCTAACCTACCGGTTGGAGCGTCTGCCCCCTGGTGGTCAGTGCACATCATAGTGAGTGGTCGACTGAACGGTTGACCCCGTTGGACACTTAGCATATTAGGCTTTTATATTTATAGATACATTTGAAAGTTCACATTAGCTTATTTAGGCTTGTACTTTTGTTTTCTTATAGAGAAAGAAAAAAGAAAAGAAGAAATCTGGTAGGGTGAGCAAAACTTTTCCATTTTTCTAAATACTATAATTAAAAGCCTACGAAAAAAGTAAGAATAATTTATATAGGCTGTATGCTAACTCTAGATGAGTCAAAGAGCCTGGAGGTCTTTTGATTGTTATGGGTGGTTTTGTTCTATTTCTGATATAAAAGACAGGTGCCAACCTCCTTATAACCTAGTAACTCCTGTATTGCTATTAAAGAGGGGAAATTGACCACCATTGCTATATGTGTTACTTTGTTGAGCCTTTTCTGTGAGGAAATTTGACATTTTAATACTTAAGTCTTATGAAGATGGCATCTGTTTTTCTGACACTAGGTTGATTTAGTTAAGTATTTGAGAGACTTAGTAAAAGAAAAAGATTCCTGCATCTCACAAGCTTTAATTGTTTTGTGCTTGGTCAAGTATTCATCTTCTTCTTCATCAAGCTCTGATTCTTCCAGCAGTTCTTCAGATTCTGAAGATGAGGTAAGGTTTGCCTATGATGATCCATGAAATATCTGTAATTTATTTAATGACAAAGGAAACACATTATGAAATGTCAGTTAAAAATGTTTACTTACAGGTTTTATTATCTCTGAGAGCACTGATGTAAATATTGATGTATATGTTTTATAGATTTTGAATTTGTCTTGTTCATTTAAAAATATGAGTAGAAGAAATGGATTTGAAAAATGTAAAATGGTATTTGACTAGATGCTAGGAATTATGTGTGACTCAAATCACTTGACTTTTTATAAAACAAGGAAATGATATGTTACATTTTAAATATTAAGTAAAGCATATCTTTAAAGCCGATCCTTTCATTAACTTTTGTATATTGATAAAGATTTAATATTACTAAAATACATCTATTATATTTTTAAAACAGAAAGCAAATATTTCTAAAAATGTTTTATATAGGATAAGAAACAAGGAAAAAGGAAAAAGAAAAAGAAGAACCGTTCACATAAATCTTCTGAAAGCTCCATGTCAGAGACTGAATCAGACAGTAAGGTAAAATTACTTAAATTAGTACCATATTGGACAGTGAAGACATGTAATTAGGTTTTTCTTTTAGTTCTTCCTATCTTAAATTGCTCTCAGTTTAAAATTGAGATGTTCTGTGCCACTTAATACCTTACATATGGCATTTAATTGTTCTGTAAATATCTTCATACATATGTTTCTCTCTCAACACATCCATGATAGCTTTATGATAAGCCTGGCAGGCATTATTTTTCCCATCTATAATAATAAAAGGTAATATGCTAATTAGACCTGATGAAGCAGAGACTGCAAGGGAAGCCCGGGTCCTGGGTGCCTGCCAATGGCCAGAGGGAAGCCTGGGTCCCGGTTGCCAGAGGAAAGCCGGTACTGGCAGCCAGGGGAAAGAAGACCTACTCTTGCATAAATTTCATGCATCGGGCCTCTAGTTTTCATGAAAAGTCAAAGTTGAGCCCAGCTGACGTGGCTCAATTGGTTGAGCATCATCCCAGGCACCAAGAGGTTGCTGAGTTGATTCCCACTCAGGTCACATGCCTGTGTTTCGGGCTCGATCCCCAGTAAGGCGGCGTGTGGGAGGCAGCTGGTCTATCATCGATGTTTTATCTCTTCCTCTCCCTTTCCCTCTCTCTCAAAAAAAAAAATCAATGAGAAAAGCTTTAAAAAAAAGTCATTGTTCAGAGAAAAAAATGTCTTGCTTAAATTTATACAGGTAGTATTAGAACTTGAATATGTGTTCTATTATCTGGTCTAGTGTCTTTTCTACTGAACCTAAGTCTGCTCTGTACTAACCAGAATTGTCTAACAAATATGCTCTCAAACATTAGTGGTCATAAGAAAAACGTGCCCATTGCAATAAAAATGTAGTTTCCTGGGCCTCATTTTCAGAGTCTGAGTAAATCTGATTAGTCTTAAAAGTCTACATTTTGACAGATGTCCTCTGTGATGCTGATACAGGGGTATCCATGGACCACATTGGACAGTGTCCCAGGCTCCCAGGAGAAGCAGCAACTGTTTTGTTTTGTGGCAGATAGCTACTTCCCTAGTGATATTTCTTCTGACAAATGCCTGGTGTCTAATAAGTATTCAGCAAATGTTGGGTTTTTTTCCTCTGTCTTCTAAAGCAAAAGAGCCAGACTAATGATATTGATAGCTAACATGTATTAAATGCCTATTACATGTTATTCATAGTTCTAAGCTCTTGACATGTTAACTCAATTCTCTCAACAACTCTATGAAGTAGATATTTGTTATCCCGCTTTATGGATAAGAAAGGCTCAGGGAGATTATTAATAACTGGAACTGAGGGATTCAAAAGCAAAAATTCTTACCTCCCCTCCTTATAAGGAGAGTAGGGAAATCAAATTGGGAAATGTCTGAGCACACAGTGAATTAGAACACCTGTGCATAAGACCACCTCAGGCAAAATTAGGCAATGACGTAAAGTCTTATAGTAAAATACACCATGTGGTTTGCACAGACAGTATGTCATTTTTGGTGTACATAGATTTGATACACGGACAGATACATGAAGAAGCCTATTTCTTTACAATCACATATATACACAACACATTTCTTCTATATTTTTAAAATAAAATTCTGGTATTGAAGTAAACTTTTTTCAGTTATAGAACCAATCACCTTTTTGGTATTTTTATCTTTATGCTATTATGCTGTATCTTTTACATTTAAAATTGATAAAATATTTGTTTGTTTAGGATAGTTTAAAAAAGAAAAAGAAGTCAAAGGATGCAAGTGAGAAAGAAAAGGTAATTATAATTTTACATTGCCTTAAGTAATCTATCATACAATACTTCATTTAAAGGAATAAACAATAATGTGTTCCCCTTTTTAACTTGAGATTTTTTTTTTTGGCTTTTATGGCATTTCATACTGATTTAAGGAAATTATTTATTGGTTTCATTATTGATTAGAAGATAGAAGAGTATTCCTGAAGAAAGCTTGAATTTGTGTAGATTAATGGATTATCTCAGATTACAAATTTTAAGTAATGGAGATTAAACATTTCCTTTGTTCCTTCAAGTCATTTTAAAAGAGGCCCCTTTAATTAAAGAACATGGACTTCTGTTTCAAATTGAGTATACCATAGATAAGTTTTGAAAAAGAATTTTACTACTGTAAGCAGATATTTTATCTTCACTTGTGATTTAACTATAATTAATTATGAATTTATCCCTATGCATGTTTCTGATTTACATTTTAAAATCTTGTTCTGATTATTAAAAACTAGAGGCCCGGTGCATGAAATTTGTGCACTCAGCAGGGTAGTGGGGGTCCCCTCAGCCCAGCCTGTGCCCTCTTGCAGTCTTAGAGCCCTTGGGGGATGTCCGACTGACGGTTTAGGCCCACTTCCCCTCGGACATCCTTAGCACTGCTGCGGAGGCGGAAGAGGCTCTTGCCATCGCCACTGCGCTTGCCAGCCGTGAGCCTGGCTCCTGGCTGAGTGGTGCTCCCCCTGTGGGATTGGGCTGAAACTGGCTCCCCCAAGGGGTCTTGGATTGCGAGAGGGCTCAGGCCAGGCCGAGGGACCCCACGGTGCACAATTGGGGCTGGGGAGAGATGCGGGAGGGCTCCAGGGCATGTCCAGCTCATCTTGCTCAGTCTTGATCAGCTGGACCCCAGCAGCAAGCTAACCTACTGGTTGGAGTGTTAGCCCCCTGGTGGTCAGTACATATCATAGTGACTGGTCAACCGGTTGACTGCCTGCCCCCTGGTGGTCATTGCATGTCATAGCAAGCAGTTGAGAAGCCTTAGCATATCATTAGCATATTACGCTTTGATTGGTTGAATGGCCGACCGGTCGACCAGACACTTAGCATATTAGGCTTTTATTATATAGGACTAGAGGCCCGGTGCACGAAATTCGTGCACTGGGGGGTGGGGGTTCCTTCAGCCCAGCCTGCCCCTCTCACAGTCTGGGAGCCGTCAGTGGATGTCCTACTGATGGCCACAGTCTGGCAGCAGAGGCTCGGAGCAGGCATTCTGTGTGTGTGTGTGTCTGCTGGGGCCTGCCCCCAGCCACGCCACGTAGGGTCGAAGCAGCTGCCGTGTGTGTGTGTGTGTGTGTGTGTGTGTGTGTGTGTGTGTCCCCACTGGGGGTCTGCCCCCAGCCACATTGGAGGCTCAGAGCAGGCATTGTGTGTGTATGTGTGTGTGTGTGTGTGTGTGTGTGCTGGGGGCCTGCCCCCAGCCACATCATGGGGGCTTGGAGCAGGAGCCCCTCTGTGTTAATCTCTCAGGCTCCTGGCCTCCACTGCATGTTGTACTCTCCCTTGAGCTATGGCCAGGATGGGGGTGCTGCTTGCAAGCCGGGCTTTCCTGCTCCAGGATCGCCATGGTGACGGGGGAGCAGGCCCAGCTGGGGGCTGCCCACAGGCCGGACTTTCCCACTTCTAGGTCTCCATGGCGACCGGGGAGCAGGCCCAGCTGGGGGCTGCCCGCAGGCCGGGCTTTCCCGCTCCCTGATCAGGCGCAGCTGGGGGCTGCCTACAGGCTGCACTTTTCTACTTACCGATGGCCGGATCACCACAGCGACCCAGGGCCCAGCGGCACTTTCCTGCTCTCCAGTAGTCATAGGGTCCCAGCTGGGGGCAGGGCTTAGCAGTGTGGGGCTTAGGCGGCACGGGGCTCCCAGCTGGGGGCTCAGGTGGCACATAGGGGTCCCGGTTGAGGGCGGGGGCTTATGCCCTGCTGCCCAGGGCTGCACATGGGGCCCAGATGGCAGCTCGCGCTGTCCCGACCTGCCTGTAGTATAGGATAGAGGCCTGGTGCACAGGTGGGGGTCCCGCTTGGGTACCTGGCCAGCCTGGATGATGGGCTGATGGCTGTTTTTAGGCTGCCCGCACCCCCTTTAGGGTGGGGGTCCCCACTGGGGTGCCTGGCCAGTCTGGATGAGGGGCTGCGGGCCGTTTTCAGGGTGGCGGGTGACTGAAGCTCCCAGCCTCTCCTTTTTTTCTTTTTCTTTTTTTTTTTTATTCTGGGATTTATTTGCTTTTTATGGCTGTCACTGGAGCTGAGAGGCGGCTTTAGCGCTGAGGCCGGCTCCAGCTTGAGGCCTCGGCTGCTGAAAGCAGATATCTGGGCTTTGTTTAGCTTCTATAATTGAAACTCTGTTGCCATCACTGCCGCTCTAAGCTCTGAGCCCACTGCTGGCTGAAAGCAGCTATCTGGAGCTTGTTTAGCTTCTATAATTGCAACATTGTTGCATCCGGAGCTCAGAACTGGGCTGCTGCAGGCCGGGAACCTTGGCTTCCTCCATCACTGGAGCAAGTAAGCCTCCTGTTCACTTCAGCTGCCTGGCTGCCGGCCACCATCATGGTTGGCAGTTAATTTGCATATCCTGCTGATTAGCCAGTGGGAAGCATTCAGGGGTATGGTCAATTTGCATGTTTCTCTTTTATTAGATAGGATAAAGCCTAAGGAAAGCAATTACTAAATGAAAGAAAACTGTGAACGAGTGCCACTGTATTTTACTGTGTTTTTATATAATTTTTAAAAATTGAGGTGAAATTCACATAATTTTCTATTACTCATCTTAAAATTACAGTTTGATGGTGCTTAGTGTATGTACAATGCTGTGCAACATCTACCTCAATCTAGTTTTAAAACTTTTTCATCACCCCTTTGAAAAGAACCTATAAAGTAGAATATTATAAGCAAAAGCAACATAACCACATAACCTCTAATCTGCTTCCTATGTCTTTGGATTTGCATATTCTGGTTATATCATAAAAGCAATCATACAATATGTAACCTTTCCTGTCTGACTTCTTTCCTTTCGTGTAATATTTTTGAGGTTCATCTAAGTGGTAGCACGTATATCAGTACTTTGTTCCTTTTTATGGATTAATAACATTCCATTGTATGTATATACCACAATATATTTATCCATTCATCTATTAGTAGATACTTGAATTGTTTCTACCTTTTGGCTAAGATGAATAATGCTGCTGTGAACATATGTATACAAGTTTCTGTGTGGCCATAATGTTTTCATTGATCTTGGGTATATACCTAGGAGTGCTTTCATATCAATTTGCAAATAAAAATTTACTAAGATACTAAAAGAAGAAACTTGTGGCCAAGTTGGGTTAATTATAAGAATTCAAAGATAAGAAGTGTATTAATATAATTTGTAATGTAACTGGCCAAAAGAAACCATATGGTTAATAGTGATTCAACATTGATTTCTCATTTTAAAAACCATTATAGAAAAAGTGATTACTTTCGTGTTTTAAAAAAATGTATATGTCCTATGTGGGGTATAAAACAAAAAGCAGCAAACAAACGAAACAAACCCATAGATACAGACAACAGACTGATAGTTACCAGAGGGGAAAAAAGTACCAGACACTTTCTCCTTCTTTAGAGGCAGCTATTTCTGAATTAGTATGCATCCTTCCTTCCACATTTATACACTTTGGTTACATATATTCATAAATAGTGTAGAGTATTTTTTATTTTCAAAATGGTATCATTGTGTTTCCTTCTGAAACTTGTATTTTTCACTCAACATTGCTGTTGACATTTATCCTTGTTGATACTCTCAAGTTTGTTGCTTTTGCTTAAAGTATTCCATTCTATTAATTTGCCACAGTTTATTGCTCCATTCTGATTGTGGACATCTAGATTGTTTTCATTTTTCAGTAATGCAAACAGTGCTTCAGTGGCTATTTTTGTATCCATTTTTCTTTTTCCACAAGTTATTGTTAATATTCTGATACATACTTGGGACTAGGATTTCTCAGTGCTAGGATGTACACACATTTAACTTGTCTACCTTTTGCTCACCAAAGTGCTTATTACTAATTTGCATTCCTGCTAGTAGCATATGATAGTATTTTTGTTCCATACATACTTGTCAACACTGGGAGGCTTTCCTCTTTGTTAGTTTGATGCGTATAAATCAGCACTTTTCAACCAGTGTGCTGCAGGAATTTTTAAAATGCAATACTTGACTATTTAGTCAGGGGCACTCTTTTTCCTTAGATTGTCGAATGAAAAGATGACAACAGTCAACACAACAATAGCTGTCCAGTGTGAATGAATAAAAATTGTACCTATCTTTTTGTCAGATTGGCAAAAAGTATATTTTTTGTGTGCCGCAGAATTTTATTAATTAGCTTGTGTGTACCATGAGATGAAAAAGGTTGAAAATCACTGGTATGGAAGGTTGAGCCTTTTCATTTGCTTATTAGCCATTCAGATTTCATTTTCTGTGAGTTATGAATTGCCTGTTTAGTCTTTGCCCATTTTTTTGTTGTTGTTGTTGGGTTGTTTTTGATCTTTCTGATTGATAAGAGTTAAATATTACTCTTTTATACACATAATTATCATCTTTTACGTCTCTTAATCTTGTTTAGGTTTTCTGTTGTAAGGGATAGGTTGTAATTATAAATCATATATATATCAATCATTGTTTTTAGCCCCATATTTAGTTTAAATTGTTGTGAACGTACAATATGATGTCCAATTAGAAAACATAATGGAAGAATTGAACAGGACTTATTTGAAGAAAACTATAAATCTGTTCTGAGATGCAGATGAAGATTTAATAAATGTTCCTGGGTGTGACATTTCCTACTACATGTTAAAACATTTTAAATGCTTTGATTAAAACAATGTTGTATGGTACCAGAAAAGAAAAAGAAAAAATGGAACAGTATAAAGTTCAGGTTAAAATTTTTAAGTGTTTGTGGAATTTAATATATGATAAAGATGGGTTTTTTTTGGGACAAAATGACTTGCCATTTGGGAAATATAAAGCTGGGCACTCATTAAGGCCAAATAAATTTCAGATAAGCCAGTTTTAAATTATGAAAATATTATTGGAGAAAGACATGATGAATATAATATTGGGATAGGGAAAGACTGTGCCTCAAAAAACTTGTGACCATATAATTCTAATTCTCAGTGGCAAAAAAGATCACAAAAAAATAAACCATGAACAAAGTTTAAATATAATGAACAGACTTAAGAAAAAGTAATAATACATCATTCAGAAACTTAGTGACCTTCGGTATTAAAGAACACTTCACAAACAAAAATTGGTAAAATATATGTTTAGTAATTCTAAAAGTAAATATGAAATGTAATCCAACAATCTGACATTAATATGATAAAAGAGGCTTTATGGTAAAGTGTGACTCAAAAAATGAAATAAACAATGTGGGGTTGTGGGAGATTGAGAAAATCATTTGGGTGAAGGCTACTTTGGTCTTTGCCTTAGTCATTATTGTTAGATCAAGATTTTACATTTAAGTACCCTTCACTGTATTTCAACTTTGTTTTTAATAGCAAAGAACCCATATGGCTGCCCTCCAGAAGGAGATTGGTTAAGTAAATTGTGGCATATACTTTCAGTGAATGTCAAAGGCTGCCATAAATGACGATGTAGTTGGCATGGAAAGATACTATTGGGTGAGAAGAGCGGGTTCCAAACAGCAAGTATTTGTGTAAACTTGTAAATATACACATAGGAGGATGTTTACAAAAATCCTAATGGTTTAGGTAGTGGGATTTAGGTGAATTTTCTTACAGTGAGCATTTATTATTTCTACCAAAATAATAAACCTGTTAATCACCTGTAATCTAATACATAAGATCATCACTGTTAGTTTATTTTCTACATGAATTTTTTGTTTATATCTTCAAAATTGGGTTCATGCTGCATAAAGTTTTATATTATTTTTATAATTTTTTAATTAAGATTAGGGGTGAGCATTTTTCATTGTGTGGTTCTGTTGTTTTTATTGTTAGAAACTACTTGAGACATACAGAAAAAGTATATGGAAAAATAATAAAATGGTAACCAGCATGTCCACTTTGAAGCTTTAGTAAATCCTAACACTTTTCATTTCTTAAAATATATATTTAAGTCCTGAGTTCTCCTCCACTCTGAGACCCTCTCCTTCCCCAGCTATGCATTTTTTCAACATTAAAAATATTTAGAGCCCTAACCGGTTTGGCTCAGTGGATAGAGCGTCGGCCTGCGGACTGAAGGGTCCCAGGTTCGATTCCGGTCAAGGGCATGTACCTTGGCTGCGGGCACATCCCCAGTAGGGAGTGTGCAGGAGGCAGCTGATCGATGTTTCTCGCTCATCGATGTTTCTAACTCTCTATCCCTCTCCCTTCCTCTCTGTAAAAAATCAATGAAATATATTTAAAAAAAAAATATTTAGAGACAAAGATTTTTTTTTAATGTGAATTTAATACTTAATGCACTAAAGGAATTACTGTGTACAGATTCTTTCAGATCATTGCAAATAATTACCCATTGATTTTTCTTCTCTACAGCACTGTCTGGATCAGGCCGGTGTGATACAACTTTGGGTAGAAACAAAGGAATTAGAATACAAGGGACCCAAATCTTGTACCGTTTATATAGTTCCTTATGACTTTGTAAAATTCTGTCGTATATAGTTAAAGAAAATAAGGAGGATGTTATATCTAAGTGGATATATAGTTATTTCTTTTTAGGTTTTTAATAAAAGCATTACTTCATTGGATTTAAAGACTGATTCCTGGTCACTTTTAGACATCTCTAAAATGAAAATGGATTATCATTTTATGATAATCGGAAGAAATGTTACTAGAACTTAGAAATAAAATTTTCATGGAATAATAATATGTCTTTTTGAGTCAAGGTCCATGTATTTTTTTGTTTACTAGGACATTAAGGGACTCAGCAAAAAGAGAAAGATGTATCCTGAAGATAAACCTTTATCATCTGAGTCTTTGTCAGAGTCAGATTATATTGAGGAGGTAAGTATATGATCAAATCTATTTTCTTCACTATAAAATGTCTAGTTATTGATTTGATTTAATATTAACTGAAAAACAAAATACTTCATAAGTATTTAATTTACTTTTCTAGTTTGATGTACCATGAAAAAGAAAAAGAAGTTGTTCCATTTCAGAATAAGTTTTGCATTTTTCCATAAGATAATTATATTACTATTATTTTTACAATTAACCATATTCTCAGATTCCTTTCCAATCTGAGATATGTATGTTATTTTTATTCTTCTAATATTTTATTTTTATTATGCTATATTTTTAATTACATGAAAGATGCTGTATGGTGTAAAGCAGATTGAAACCTGGCATTTCCTTGTTTTTGTTGGATCTGCTATTTAGGGAGTAGAAAGGTAATGAGGTGGAGCAGAAATGTTTACCTGATCTCAGTTTTTCTATCTATAGATTAAAGGAATAGGATGAGGTCATCTATACAGTCATTTTCAGCTCTAATATCCCTGTCTTAAATTTTGTACTCTCTTAGAATTATAGTCCATTTTTAGTTTTAGGTCTGTAAGTTATCTTCCTAAAAGTATTTCTCAGAATTGGCTTTCTCGTTTGTAAAATAGGGCCTATTGCTCTCATTTTGTAGCAGTATTTTGTAATGCTTTTCTGAAATGAAATTTGTAGCTTTTACATAAATGTATATTTATATATATAAAACCTACACATTTTTACATTACTGTCCCCTAACAGAAATAGAAGAAATACAAGAAAATAATAATCCATAGTGTTTATTAAATTACATTTCAATATGTAGATGGTTGAGTGTATCTGAAAACCCTGTACAAAGTACTTTGTGTTCATAGTGCAGTAAATTTAACTTCTCTGTTATAAATAGGTTCATTACATGAGTGTCTAGCAGGCTATTCGGCAGTCCTGTTAGGGCTGTCCTGGACATTGTGTGACAGCATCATCTGTGTTGGCCTGGTTAAATGTAGATGCAACACAGCTGCCTCCATTCCCGTCGTTGTTATGACAAGATAACAAACGATAACAATTTTCCTGAGTGCTCTCTAGAGCACTTACCTTAATACATAAAATACATTACATTTGGATGTAACATTAAATACATGCAAGCTTTAGCAACTTGGAATTTTATCTGTATTCAGTGTACCATACTTTAAAAGATTAAAATAAAATATTCATGGAGTGATAATTCTTACTTAAAAGGATTTTGATTAATTGGTTTATACTGCATACATTATGTGTATAGCTATTATTTATTGAACACCATAGAGTTAGAGAAATCCCCACTTTATTATAGGCACTTCCCCTGAGGGTGGATATAATTTCCATTTTACAGATGATGACATTGAGGGTAATACATGGCAGAGGTAGGATACAGAGCTTGGTCTGTTTTATTTATTTCAGTGCTCATATTTTTTATCCATTGCACCTCACTGTTGTTTTTAGGTGCTGAAAGGGAATATAAAAGAAGCCCTTTAGAGATTTGAGATCTTAATTTCCCCCTCTTTAAAAAATGTTTTTTATTTAATCCTCATTGTGATCTAATGGGTTTGAGGTTAAACAAGGCATTTAAGATATCATTTGGTTGTCAAATGTTTTTGACATACACATTTTAAAGATGCAAGGTATATTAGGGAATGAAAAAGAAATGCCATGAGTACAAGTTACATATTTGTCTTCTTTTCTACACAAAAACTTAAACTTTTTAGGTACGGGCAAAAAAGAAGAAAAGCAGTGAAGACAGAGAAAAAACAACAGCAAGTATCACTTACGTTTTTACATTGACAACAGTATAGCTGTTTTTATTTAATATAAATTGAGTCATGGGTAAAGCATGATTGCATTTACTAGGACCAAATAAATATTTATTGTGGTGTTCAGCAGCTTCACTTAATGGGTTGGAGAAAATTAAGTTGGTTCAGGGAAAGGAAAGAAAACCCTCATGCCAAGCATGTTCTGTTTCTGTTTTAGTATTTTGTTATAAATGTAAGCTCAAACTTTTGTTTGACTTTCTGAAGGTGTGGTATGAAATATGATATTAAGGTATGGTGATTCCCTCTATCTGCAATAGAAGTTACTTCCAGATCAACCAACCCTGGTAATAACAGAAAAGGCCCCTCTAAGCACAAACTGCAGTGAGTAATAAGCTGGAATACGACAACATAAATGATTCAGTAATAAAGATTATTCTTGTGATCATTTCTAAAGCCAGCTCTGCTGTTATGCAGATTGAGAAGTAGGAAAGGAGAAAGGAGGAGGAGGAGGAGAATAAGGAAAACAGAAGCAGTAATCGAATGAGAAGTCGACCCACCTAGAGAAAGTGAATACAGATATCAGAGAGAAATGTGGACCCTGTCAGCAAAGTAATCTGGGGCACTCAGTATACTAAGTGTGGACCTTGGCCTTTAAAGGCATTTTTTTAGGGAGAGGTGAAATAAAAATGAGAACAACATCATTTTTAGATTTGAGGGTAACTCCCATAATTTCCCTAGCTCTTAAGGTTGGGGTCCTTCTCTGATAAGAAGGTTCATTTGGTAATGTGTGATTCAGAATTAACATTCTGGTGTATAGGCTGATGTCTCAACCAACTGAGCCACCTGACCAAGGCCAAAACTTACTTTTTTAAAAGCCCAAACACAAGATTTTGGACTCTTTGTCCCTGTATACTTGGCTTGTAATGAAAAGAATGATGAAAGTTAGCTTAGGTCCACAAAGTATTAGAGGTCTGTGAGAGAGAGGGGAGGATTATGGAAAGTTTAATAGATAAGGAAATGAGTGGGAAGCTTTGCTTTTACTATGCTTCTTTGTCTCTCCTCTTGCTTTTTATTTTCTTCTCCTGAAACAAATAATCTATCATTTGATGCCATCTTTCCAGTATCTGTTCCTAAAAGTTCCGCTTTCTCTTCTGTATCTGAAGCAGTCAGTCATGAAAATCTGAGTTCAGCAAAATTCTAATTCCCTCTATCCAATGACAATTTGACTGCTTTTACAAGGCTTCAGTGGCATTTTCCTCAAACAGTCAAGCATCTGTCTTAGTAAGCTAAATAAGACTTTTCAACTCATGTGCTGGGGGGTGGGAGTGGCCAGGGAGAGGTCAATGGGGGAAAAAGGAGACATATAATACTTGAATCAATAAAGAATTTTTAAAAAAAAGACTTTTCAACTATCCATCAATATATTTTGTACCAGTTAGTTAACTTAATTCAAGTGCTCTCAGTCTAAGCCAGTGATGGCGAACCTTTTGAGCTCAACATGTCAGCATTTTGAAAAACCCTAACTTGACTCTGGTGCCGTGTCACATATAGAAATTTTTTGGTATTTGCAACCATAATAAAACAAAGATTTATATTTTTGATATTTATTTTATATATTTAAATGCCATTTAACAAAGAAAAATCAACCAAAAAAATGAGTTCGTGTGTCACCTCTGACAAGCGTGTCATAGGTTCTCCATCACTGGTCTAAGCAGTACATAATATTTGTTTCTATTTACTTAAAAATGGAAGATTTAATAGATATGTGCTTTGAAAACTATGATTTTGCAAAAACCATTATTTTGCTGTGGTGTGGGGATTTCTTTGCAGTAACTACAATTACTTTACCTTTAGAAAGTAAATAAATGAAATAAAGCAATTGGTACCATGTTATTTTCTATGGGAAATTTTGATTAAATCTACATTAATGTGCTAATGATTTAAAAGTTTTTCCTTATCCTTTTGGAAATCGCCAAGCACTCTTCATCATGATATTGGTTATTGAGACTTTTCAAGAAATGTTTTGAGTAGCTTACTTGATTGTGTGGATTGTTGAAATAAATGTACATTAGCTCAGAAGTACCATGGTAAAGTTGTTTTTAATTTGCATATTTTCATGTAGAAATGTCTAACATGAAACTATCTCTACAGGAAAAGACAAAGAAGAAAAAGAAGCATAAGAAACACAGTAAGAAAAAGAAAAAGAAGGCTGCTAGTTCAAGTCCTGACTCACCATGAAAGGCAAAATCAGGATTCCCTTATAAAGAAAGTGCAATGTCTGAGGAGATCTCAACTGTGAAAATAATGGCATATTTACTAAAATGCATGACCTTTGTTGTTTCTAGAATTATTCCTGGATTGTTAGGTAGCCACTCACATGCCGCTGTGTGAAAGGGCCATAAGAGTTGCCTGCTCCTTGAACATCTGTCTTTGTTCTCTTCCATTGCTTAATAACTCTGGGAGATAATGCACTGCAGTTGTACTAGTGGTTGATATTTGGGAATAAAGTTAATATTTTTGACTAGAAGTATCTAATGATAAATCAACAGACATTGAGTCTGGATACATCATTAAGGTATAAACAGAAATGACCAGATGACTCTAGTTAATGTTTTTGAAGTAGGGATTACATTGATATTTTAAAATCCTTACTCTGTAGATAAGTGTATTTTAATGTTTTCCCCTTGTATACTTTTATTTACTTGGGGAAGGAGCTTTTAAGGGTGGGGGGTGGTTTGCTATTTCTTTAGCTAGCAGAATAGCGTGCCTTTTATCCTCACACATCCTATTTTTGCGGACACAGTAGCCATGCTTCATGAGGAGGATAGAGCTGGGTATGGCAGTCTTGCGCTTTACTGAGCTTAGTAACATCCTTGGTCTGTCATATGCTGCTTTGAGTGAATCAGAGAAGCAGCCTTTTGCAGCACGAGAAAGCCCCAGAAGCTCTGGAATTTACCTCCACTTCAATAATACTGAATGATTTTTATTATTAGAATGTATTGTAACATTTGGATTAATTTTGACTACACTTTGGCTTTGGGAAGGAGTCATTTCCAATACACACTGGTACTTTTTGAACTTGATAGCTAAAGATTCTAAAATGCATGTTTTATACTGTTAAGTTTTAACCAGTCAGGAATATTTTATGTAACCAGTGATAGCTATTTTTTGTATGAATTTTGGTTAGGCTGTAAAGTTTAGCTTTTATCAACTTTTTATTCTTGCTATCTTTAATTCCTTACTGCATTTAATGGCATTCTTGCCAAAATATTAGCATGTGAAAAGCAGAATTTAGATTTGGTTTGGTTGGTTTTGTGTGTAACAGCTTCATATTGAAGCTGAGACTTACCATATACAAGTTGAGTGGCAGGCCTGGTAATGCTGTGTCTTGTTACATAAAGCTCTTGCCAGAATCTTAGTAAATATAATGTTTTAAAAGTTTGTCTTTGTATATTCATAAAAAATATGACAAGTTAAACTTAAGTGAGAATTACATTATTGCTCTTTCTGTGTCATTTTACTAAGATTTTGTGCCTCGTAACTCCTGCTGAATTGTTTACTAGTTATGTTAAAAGGAACTGATAAAGTCATTTTCACTTTACATTTTTATATAATCGGGTAATATGAAATATAATTTGATGTATAATTTTGCCTGTGTGCTAATTACAGTGGTATATGCACAAAACATTTTGGCATGACAAGAGGCTGAATAAATAGCTATTTTACTTAAAAATAGCCTTGTTCTATCAGCTTCCTTTGAGTCACAAGTAAAGTTAAAATGATTAAGAAACACTGCTAGGTGTTAAGTGGTAGGAGGATAAGACATATCTCCAAGTTTTTAGCTGAAAAAACAACATGTTCCTTGGTTAGTTTCCTTAAAGTTTAGGCGTAAAGCTTCATACTGTTACCTAATAAAAGATATCTATATGCTCTTGAGTATACAGCAAATTTGAGGGATATTTTGTACCCAAAAGGAAGTTTCTCAGAATTGTTATGAAAATACTAAAAGATAAGTTTATCGAGTTGTTTGATGATCAGTTTTACTATGAACTTAAAGGTGTACCTTTGCAGACTGGTCCAGTATATGATGATTTTGTTCCACTAGAGGCAGCTGTCTGTTTTATTAGACTGGGGAAGAAAGTGATATGGCAAAATTGTACTCTTTCCAGACTGTTGACTGTCTGGGAGATAACCTTTTGCATTGTTTCTCTTTGATAACCTTAACAGTCTCCTAATAAGGTATGGGGAGAAAATTTGACTGGTAATGTTATGGTGCAAGTCAACATCTCTTACTTCTTCCCTCCACCAACCACCCCTTTTCAACACAAGGCATGTTACTCAGATAATTATGCCAAGGTAACTGAGACAAAATTGATGAGTGTCTGGACAGAAAAATTGAATTTATACCAGTGCTGCTTTTTTAGTTGTTTTAGAGTCGTTTGGTTGCCCTTAATATATTAAGGTGTTTTAAATACCACAAGAGTGTCCTGAATTTATTTTATCTAGAATATGGGTTCATATTCTATCAGTCAAGATGTGCTAAAGCCTATTGCCTAATTTTCTTTCCTTTTATGGAGAACAATGGCTAACTTCAAAGAACTGAGAGGAGAGCAATTATTCAAACTTAAGTGACAGGTTTCAAACTTTTATTTTTATATATATATTTTTGTTGTTGTTGTTGTTTGTTTGTTTTTTCCCCAATATATTTTATTGATTTTTTACAGAGAGGAAGGGAGAGGGATAGAGCGTTAGAAACATCGATGAGCCATAACCGGTTTGGCTCAGTGGATAGAGCGTCGGCCTGCGGACTGAAAGGTCCCAGGTTCGATTCCGGTTAAGGGCATGTACCTGGGTTGTGGGCACATCCCCAGTAGGAGATGTGCGGGAGGCAGCTGATCGATGTTTCTCTCTCATCGATGTTTCTAACTCTCTCTCTCTCTCTCTCCCTTCCTCTCTGTGGAAAATCAATAAAATATATTTTTTTAAAAATCAATAAAATATATAAAAAAAAGAAACATCTATGAGAGAGAAACATTGATCAGCTGCCTCCCACACCCTGCTATTTTATTAAAATTTATTTTAGTACTTTTTTTTTTCTTACTGCAGTGAAGACCATCAGATACAAACTAGAAGATGCTTGGTCTCTAAGATTTGACAGTAGACAAGAGTTAAGACAGTTGTTTTTGTCTACCTTTGGCATCATGTTTTCCTACCAGTTATGTAAGTTAGAGGGGTAAAAGTGGGGTTTAATGTTTCTTTAGAAGCTCCCAGAGTAAAGCCTCTGTTTGGATATCATAAGAAGGTACTGGTTTTGAGTTTGCAAATGAGGTTATAATCTTCGAAGGAGCTTTTTATAGCCTGGGAATTTATTTCAACTTAAAAGCTTAAGGTCTTTGTAATCTTATTTAGTTTAATTGTTCAAATAGGAGGGAAACATTTTCAACTGTAGAATTTGTGCTGAGGAAATATAAATGGCAGTATAATAGCAAGTATCACTGTCAGTGGTGTTTAGACCCAAAGAAAAGATAGATCTTAGAATTGCTGTGATATTTCAGATCACAATAACATTAGTGAAATCATGGCATGAGTACTGAGAGGTAACAACCATTGTTGCATATTTTTACAATTACTTGAGAACCTTCTGTATTTGGTTGCTGGAATGTTGCCGTCATCACATTCTGTGTTGGGTATGACATTGTGAACTGGAACCAGTGGCAGTCCAGGACGCCCAGGCGTGGAGCTACGCTATCTGAGAAGTCTGCTGTGTGTTGAAGCCACATTCAACATGGACCCGAAGGCTTTGGGAAAACTGGTGGAATCCATCAGTAAAACCGTCAAGAGCTGTGAGTACTGACTAGACATCCAGCACTGCCTGAGCATCTTTATTCAAAAAGAAACGTTGGTAGACATACTAGCTGGACATTAACAAGTGCTTTGTAAGCTCCAAATTAGAGTTCCTCTGTTTCCTATATAATGTTCTGATCACTTGAAAAAAAACAGACCGCAAGTGAGCAACTATCCCTGCACTTAGACTGAAAATAACCAGCTATCCTGAAATATATTTGTGTATGTGAAAAGAAGAGCTTGAGAATTTACGTGAGATCATAAGTGCTAAAGGATTATCTGCCAACCAAGGACTGATAAGTATAAAGGTTTACTTGAACCAGTTCCATGAGTTCTCTGGCACAAAATCCATAGAAGCAGATGATTGCTCTGCTTAAGGGAGCTGGTAAAGATATGTAACAGGAAACTGGATGTTGCAGTAGCATGGTGCCTTGAACATAGCAAGTGTTTATGAAAACTAGTCTTAACAGATTTGGAGGGGGGAACTCCTTGCCTTGACCTTAAAAAGTAACCTTCATGAAAGTTTTTTCTACGGTATGACCACAAGCCTTTCTGATAATACTGAAAATCTGTTTTTAGAATTTGAGGAAGTTACTTTTATTTCAGCCACTTGGACAGCCTAATTATTGAGCACTTCCACTTTTTCTCATTAGGACAGGCACCACCTTTCTAAAACTCTCTTTGTGGATTTAATTCTGTTTTCTCTTATTCCGGATACATCTTAAGTGATCTAAACTCCTCAAGCACTTGTAGGGCCCGTTTCCAACCCTGCTGTCCATACGTCCCTTAAGTCGTATCTGGCAGATTGAGCCAGTGTTTAATGTAATGTCTTCTGTCATTTGCTGCTTTCCTAACAGAGCCTGAGTTTTATGACATTCAAAAGGAATTTTTTATACTTAAAAATATATAATTCCTCTCCCATCCTAATGAAATTATGTTTAGCAATGTCTGTGATGAGTGTTAAATACCATAATTTGTTATTGAAAGCAATTCTTTGATCAGACCCATATCCCACAGTCTTCTGCAAAGAAGATATTTATAATTGTTTGAAAAAAGGGATGGGTTACTATTCTTTTTCGAAAGTTTTTGACACTGATTCACTAACCAGATCACTACTTTACACTCAGATTACTAACAGCTGGTGTTTGTTGCGTTCTCTGTTGGCAAGACACTGTGCTGAATGGTTTATGTTCATGATCTTTAACTCAGAACTAAATAAGGAGAGACCCACCCACCAACTTAAGCAAGTAATTGAAGGTACATGTATGCCCCTGAAGTGTGATGACAAGAATAGTACTTTATCTTGTATTCTTCCCCAAAGCACTTAACTTTACCACCCCCAACTCATTCCTTCCTATAAACTAATCATAAAAAATCATTAGACAAAGCTAAATTAAGAGGATTATACACACACACACACACACACACACTGATTTCAGAGAGGGAGAGAGACACATCAGTGATGAGAATCATCAATTGGCTGCCTCCTGCTGGCCCCCTCAAGAGGATTGAGCCCATACCCCCGACCCAGAATGGAACTGTGACCTGGTTCATAGGTCGATGCTCAGCCACTGAGCCACGCCAGCGGGGCAAGAAACATTAATTCACAGTCATGAAAAGCAAGGAAAAACTGAAAACTCATAAGTTGGAGGAGATATGACAACCAAATGGATCTTGGAATTTAAAAAAGGACAGTGGGAAAACTGGTAAATCTGTAATTCAGTTGATAATATGCCAGGTTACTGTATTATTTTTGCCAAATGTACCATGTAAGATCTCAACAGGGGGGAACAGTGAAGTACTTATAGGAACTCTATACTGCCATTGCACCTCTCTTGTAAATCTAAAATTACACTAAAAAACTTAACACAGGTCAGTCTCTGGCATCGCAACATGAGTCTCACTATCCACAATTTCTCAAGTATCACAATTGTTTTGATCACATATATAAGATCTTTAGTTAAAAATGAAATGTGAGCCCCATCAATAAACTCAGAAAAAGTTACCCACTGAAGATTGTCTAAAATCCTTGATTGCTTTGTTGGATGACTCGCAATATTTGAAAACAGCTCCTCACTTTCTTCAGGGATCCATTTAATTCACAGTAGTGTTGGTGCTAACATTTCCACTCAGGTAGTAATTCTCCATCGGAATTGAACAGGACTGCTTTCAGGCAAGCATATTGGTATAACTATGCACTCCATAAAGAGTGTCCACATCTGAGCATCCTTTTTCTTTATATTCCAAAAAAGATGTCTTTCCAAGTTTTTGTCCTCAGCGCAAGTTTTTGTCCCCTTTCTATTATGTAACCTTGAAAAGTCACATCGCCTCATAACTCATGTACTGTATTGGTTGACAGGAAACCAGCACAAAAGCCCCCCCTTAGTTTCAAGTGAGGGGGACAGACCCCATCTTTCTAAGGCTGGAGTGTCAAGTCACATTGAAAGAAGAGCATGTGGGGTAGGGTAGATTGTTCCAGTGGTCTCTGGGGAAATACGACCTGTCACATCTGGATTCGCCACTCATAAGGTAGCTTCAAGAATCTGCCAAAGTGATCTTCCTTATGTGCAAATCTGATCCTGTTAACTTGCCTCAATTTTTCAGTAAGCTCCCCATTGCAGCTCTCAGAACAGGCCTCCACGCATTCAAGCATCCTCTTCTGGCAAATGCTTACTCCTTTGGCAGGTCTTAGCTCATGACACCGTCTCCTTGGGACCCTTGTTAATTTCTTACCACTTCCCCCCAATTGATTATTCCTTCCTTTGGGTTACCCACAACCACCATCAATCATAGTGTTTGTACTACCTTACTGCACTTTTTTTTTTAATTTATTGATTTTTTACAGAGAGGAAGGGAGAGGGATAGAGAGTTAGAAACATCGATGAAGCCCTAACCAGTTTGGCTCA